CACCCATTTCTCACGTTTAATTTATATTTAGTTGTACATTGAGATATTATATTGAGATTTAAATGTTCATGAATGCGTTACGACACTGAGAAAACATGTATGTGTATTGTATATTGTACATGTACCCTTTGCAATTCCATAGACATGTACCATATGTAGTTCCCTTTACGACACTGTACAAACATGTACATTGTACAATCGACATTGTACATTTAGCTTTTTAATGTATGTACATGTATACTTTGTAGTTCCCTTTACGACACTGTACAAACGTGTACAATCTACATTGTACATTTAGCTTTTTAAAGCCATGGACAATGTATGTACATGTATACTTTGTAGTTCCTTTTACGACACTGCACAATGTATATGTATCCTTTATAGTTCCCTGTAAGAAGTGTATAACATGTTTGCAATTTTAGTTCCCTTGACACCGTATGTGCAATGTACATGAACCCTTTGTAGTTCCCTATACGACACCGTACAATCATGTACAATGTACATGTATAGTTTCTCTATGGAGACTATAAAGCCATGAACAAAGGACAATGTATATCATTGATACTTTGTAGTTCCCTTTATGATACTGTACAGCTATGTACAATGTTTGTGTACCCTTTTTAGTTCCCTAAACACTAGCCATGTACAATGTGCGTGTTTTTGTGTGTTTTTTTTTCGGCACTGTATTTACATGTATCCTTTGTAGTTCCCCTTATGCATACTGTACAACCAATTAAAATTTAAATGCATTTTGTTGTTGTTTCTTTTACGATACTGCACAACTATGTACAATGTACATTTATCCTTTGTTGTTCCCTTTACGACATTGTACAACCCTGCACAATTTACATGCATTTTTGTTCTTCCCGTTAAGATACTGTACAACTATTTACAATTTACATGTATTCTTTGCAAGTTCCCTTTATGATACTGTACAAATATGTACAATTTACATGTATTCTTTGAAGTCTCCTTTATGATACTGTACAACTATGTGCAATTTACATTTATATTTTGTAGTTCCCTTTATGATACTGCACAACTATGTGCTATTTACATTTATTCTTTGTAGTTCCCTTTATGATACTGTACAATTTACATTTCATCTTCATAGTTCCCTTTATGATACTGTACAATTTACATTTATTCTCTGTAGTTCCCTTTACGACACTGCACAACTATGTACAATTTACATTTATTCTCTGTAGTTCCCTCTACAACTACATGTACATTGAAATGTACATGAATCTTTGGTTTTAGTTCCCAGTATGACGAGCTTCTACAAACGGAAGAGGAAATTAAGGAATTAGAAAGGATAATTGTTGACATTTTCAGGTAACATAAATAATCTTAAATTATAATGTCCTCAATCTTTCTGCTTTTTTAACCCCGTTTTTTTGTATAGGAAGTATCAAGAATTGAGACCAGATAATACTAAACACATCCCGCATGCTGAAATTTACCCTGAGCATGCTAAACTTTACTCAGAGCATGATGATCTTTACCCTGAGCATGCTGAACTTAACCCTGAGCAGGCTGAACTTTACCCTGAGCATGCTGAACTTCACTATGAGCATACTGAACCTTTCCCTGAGCATGGTGAACTTCACCATATAAAGCTGGGTATAAATTTAAACGAAAAAGAAAGGTAATTTATTTTTCAGAACATTGAAATTCTATATTATCTATCAAAATAGATTGCTTAGAGCAACTATTGATTTTTTAGAGCTTAACTATTATTATCATAGGACCCTCCATTTTTTTACTTGTAATTGATGGCTCTAAGATGTCTTTATGCTCTTTTTTGCAGCAGAGACTAAAAGGAAAATTGTGAGAATTAAACACTTTTCACTGGAAAAGCTTTAATGGTTACTGTTTAGAATTGGACATCGCTTTAAAGGGAAGGTCACTTGAAATAATTTAACAACAAAAATTGGATTGATGCTAAAAAAGTTTTAAAAAATCGATCAAGATTAAAAAATTACTTATTTGCCTGTCATCCAACATCTGCTGCTAATTAAGCGATTCTTTCGAAGGAATCTGAACAACACCTGGCCGATGGTTGGAGACCAGGTCCATGATATGTATGAACACGAGGACCTGGAGATGTTTTATCTCAACCATTATTCTCTACATCTACCCAGAGAGAATATACTGTTTGAGACGGATGAAGACTGGGATGAGAGTTTTGAGAGAAGCGAAGACGATTCAGGAAATCAGCCAAACCAAACATTTTATTTATTTTCCAGAATTCCGTGGAAATCCTTTAAAGAGACTGTGACATGTCTGATTCACAACAGTACCCTCAAAGCTATGTTGGATCCAGAATAAACGAGAACGTCATAATTTCCTTTATGTAATTATATCAAATTTGATTGCGGTTTCTACAATCACGTAACTATTAGAATTCAGCTGCAGAAGCAACGAAAAATTTGTGAGAATTGAACATTTTTCAATCTGGAAAAACGACGATATAGTCCACATTATTGATCAAGTAATGGTTTAAAAGTTACCGTTGTGAATCGGATATGCATCTCTTTAAACGAAATTCCCTTAACACTACAACAACACTTCTTTATATTGTAAAGGATTTTTTGGAGTAAAAAATACAATTTTTTTATTTAGGTCGAGAAGATGAAGGATTTGAGGATAGTCTTGATAAATCAATGTTTTGTTCCAGAGTAGAAAATCTAGATCTTAAACTAGGTAAATTTCTTTCACTTTTAATTTATACAATACTAGCTGAAATTCCCGGCGTTGCCCGTGAAATAAAAAAAACGAATTTTAAAAAAACCCGAATTTTTTAAAGAAAGGGGAATGCCTCAGAAAGAAGGGAAAGAAGAGGGATGCCTCAGACAATTCGGTCCAGCCGTTTGGCCAGCTTTAGCTAGCATTTATACAAACAAATATATATGAGCAAAGGAGCTTTATTATATAGATGGATCTGAATTTTATAGTTTTCAATCTTCTAGGGGGGGGGGCTTTGTCCTCATAGCCCCCCACCCCCTTCTAAACGCTACTATTCTGGATTTATTTTGAACTAATTTTAAATGTTTATGTAGTTTAAAAAGAAAATTTCAAGAAATGCTGCGTGCTTGGTTTTTTAAAAATTTTTATATTTAATTTCAAAAATATTTTTATAAAATTTGTCTTGTTATAATTTAGAACTGTTATTGAACCGCCTGAACTCGACGACTTCCATTGTCCAAGAAAAACAGTAAAACACGGAATCATCTTGTGTTCCTTAAATATGAAAATATGAATTTAAAAATTATCAAATATCTTCCTGTTTGTAAGACATTATACATAATATTTGACCACTGCACAAAATGTAATTTCTGAAATAACTGTATGAAACTTATGACACAATTATGAAAAATTATGAAAATAAACTGGACAATTTATTAACGTCTCGTCTCCTTTTTTTGGCGTTATAAGATTTACTTTCTATCCTTTGGGGCAGGTTGAATTAATTTTTATCGTTTTTTAAAAGGTTTACTACAGTGTTAAACTCAAATCGGCAACTATTCATTTTGGAATTTTTTGGATTACATAAAATCCACGAAATGTTCATAAAGAAATGATTCAAAGGGATAATTGTGGCTTAGTTTATCCGCCAGCGTTATAAAAAATTTAAATGTTTTGATTTCTGAACTTGTAATCGATTTCTGTTTGGTTTCAATTTGCCTCCCATTAAGACTCAAATATCATGACTTAACCTATGATATCTACCTAAAATGTTTAGAATGGGAAATGACGACTTCTATATCGTCTTTGTTCAAAGCAGGATTATTTCTTAAAATAATTTTGTAGTATCACAGTTAAAATATTTAACACCGAAAACTAGCTCCAGTTCCTCCAGTCTCGAGATTTCTAAAATGTGTCTACCATTTTTTCACCTTCCAAATAGACGAAATATTAGGGATTTGTCCAGATTCCAGTTAATTAAAAATCGACAAAACTTTTCTAATGTTTAACATCTCTGTCACTTTTAAAAAAGCTCATTAGACTGGGACGAATTACAGTACACTCCAGTTTCACGTTATGTTGAAAACCATTTTAGAAATTGACGCACGCAGTTCTCTAACTTCGTTAATCAAATGTTTAAAGGGAACTGTTGTCAATCGTACATTCCCAACTTTAAATTGATGATCACTTTAAATTACGCTAAAATCCCTTTAAATTACGCTAACATCACTTTAAACATCCCTTTATAATTAAAGGCTCTTAAAATGACGATGTAAAAGCTGAACATTAAGAAGGCAATTAGATAACTCGGAGCTAGTATTGAATTAATAGATTAGTTTCTAGATGTCGTCTTTTCAAGAATCAAGGGTTTTTCGTTCACAATAACCCTGAGGTAGACGCCCAAAGGAGTTTAGCGTAGTTGGCGTTAAGCAGGCTCTCTTTCCGTCTTGTAATTCTACGCAGTGTACGCGTAACTCCTTTGGGTGTCTACCTCCGAGTTATTGTGAACGAAAAACCCCCGAATCTTGAAAAGACGACATCTAGTGTCATATCTGTTATTTTAATTAATCTATGATTACATTAATCAGATACAGGGTGCCCACAACTTTTTTGAAAAAATCCGTACAATCCGTAAAAGGAGTTGAGTTTTTGCCACAAACTCTGATTTTCTCATCTCTATATCTTTGTAACCCAATGTCGTAGACCTTAGATATTTCAAACTATTAATACTTATAGATAAAATAATCTAAGTATGAAATATCAAAGGTTTGCAATATCAGGTTGCAAAGATATTAAGATGAGAAGATTTTATTTTCTGACAAAAACTCAATTCCTTTTCGAAAAAAAATGTACGGATTTTTTCAAAAAAATCCGTACATTCTTTTTAAAAAACCGTACAATCAGTACAATTTTCGAAAAAATCCCTACAATCCGTATAAATGTCTGTCCTTGTTGAAATTTTCATGAAAAATTTGCTGAAATGAGTAAAAAAAATAAAACCGGTGTATTTCCAGGATAAAAATCCGTACAATTTGAAAAAAATCCGTACAATCCGTACAATTTTAGGGGTTATAAAAAAAATCCGAACAATCCGTACTTTTTGGGCACCCTGCAGTTACAAGTCTATAGAAACGTTGTATCTAGTTACTAATCAAAACATTCAAGAAAAACGTTTATTTAACTTAACATAAAAATTTTCAAATAAATTATCAAATTTTATAAAATTTCCAAATATGAATGTTGACATATTGCAGAGTAAAGTGATTGATTAGCGTAAGTTATCGAATATTACACAATACAAATGGTTACATAAAATTTTCATTAACAAAACGTTGTTATTACGTCATTAGCAATATGGGTTCGAGCTGCCCTTTGAGAACATAGATTAAAATTTATGGTTTTAGAAAAAGAATAAATTCTAAAAGACACAATTTAGTGGTTTCTAAACATCGGTCTCGAAAGAAAAATTTGAATGTGTTAAGCAGGCCCAGGGGTTTATATTTTAAAGAATTAACAATGAAAAGGCAAGTTTTTCACACTATTTACACAAAAATAATTTTTTCTCATAAAAATCAGTATCCTTTCAAGACATTAACTAGATCCGGTTTATCTGGTTAACTTTAGATGGTTAATGGTTCAAATATTACAAAAATTTCCACCTCCTCCGGTTAAGAAAAAATTGCAAAATTTCGCACAGGGTTGTAAGAACAGCTTGGGAACAATTATTACTTAAAATTATCATTAGTGTATATATTACATATATTTGTAAAAAATACGTTAACTTTAAAAGATTTAATATAAAATGTCAGGAAATCCAGAACTTTTGTGTTTTGAATCTTGGGATAATTAATTAATCAATTTATTCCTCATCAACATCCCGTGGTGGTCATACCCTGCAGGGATCTTTTTAATCAAGGGATCAAGCATTTCTTCTCAAATTCGATACTGACCACTTTCACAAATTATCATAAACTCTTTTTTTGCGTTACAGTAATAAGTAAGAGGATTTCTTTTAGTTTAAAATACAACATATTTTTTTTTAAAACTTGACTGAGGTTTAAACTGGGTTAAATACAACTTATGAGATGAGAAATTAAATCAATTTTAATAAATATTCAACACTTTTTAAGAAATATAAGAAATTGATTGATATGCTCAACCGAATTCTACCATACTGGCCTGGAGGCACAATGCCGCACAATTTATAAAACTGAATAGTTTTAATAATTAATTTACACAGTTTTGTGGATTTCGTGTAAACTTATCTGTGTTTTGTGTATTTTCCTGAGAATTTTGTAGATTTGTTTTAATAATGAAGACGTTTAATCGTCACTAGTTCACTATTAGAGAATTTCAGTCCCAGGATTCTCATGTTTTCTGAATCTTAACTCTTGTTCGTATTGTAGAACTTGGGGCAGGTGATCAATCTGAATCTGATCTAGTTCGTATTGTAGAACTTGAGGCAGGAAATCAATCTGAATCTGATCTAGTTCCTATTGTAGAACTTGAGGCAGGAAATCAATCTGAATCTGATCTAGTTTGTATTGTGGAACTTGGGTCAGGAAATCAATCTGAATCTGATCGATCTAGTTTGTATTGTGGAACTTAAGGTAGGAAATCAATCTGAATCTGATCTAGTTCCTATTGTGGAACTTGGGTCAGGAAATCAATCTGAATCTGATCGATCTAGTTTGTATTGTGGAACTTAAGGTAGGAAATCAATCAGAATCTGATCTAGTTCCTATTGTGGAACTTGGGGCAGAAAATCAATGAACTTGAGACAAACAAGCATCTCATCTGAATCTCCTGTAATTATAAGAAAGGATTTTATTAATTTCAAAAATAAAAAATCAGAACCAGAAAAAAAGCTGAATGAAAATCGTCATAAAATCTTTGAGTTAGCTTTGCTTGGAAGCAGAGTGCTTAGAATCCGCATCCGTTGGGTCCGCAAGATTTTGGCTTCCTGGCTCCGGATCCGCAAAAATATGCGGATCCACGGATCCGGATACAAGGGGTAAAATATCAACCAAAAACTGCAAAAACAACTTTATTACTCCTAAAACCCAACTCTGAATTTTCGAGATTATAAAAATTTCCTCATTTCTTAATGGTTCGTCAAGTTTTAGAATAAAAATAAGCGAAATAAATAAAACAAAAATTTGAAAATTATTTTTTGTTGATAAAAATTCAGTAAATCTTAAAGAAATGACCTGGATCCGGACCCATTTTTTCCCAGTGCGGATCCGCATCAAAATTAAATGGATCCTAAGCACTGCTTGGAAGACATGATTTATTTTGTTGGCTGAATCGTGGATATTTAATGGATTTAAGATATTTTTAGGTAAACTATCAAAAAGGGAATATTTAATGGATTTTTTAAGTAAATCCATCAAAAGGGTATATTTGATAGATTTTTAGGTAAATCCATCAAAAAAAAGGGAGAAAAGTATGTAATTTTACTGGTATAGTGTAAATCCCTGCAGTGTGTCATTGTTATAACTACAAGATGTGTAGTGTGCAGTGTGCACAGAATATTTTTATAAATATTAATAATATATATTTTATTACCGTTACAAATTACTCATTCAAAAAGTCAATAATAAAAACTTTAAATACACTTGATAATAATTATCACTTCAGTACATTAAGCCACTAAAAATAAATGGTAAACATGTTTAAATAGTTTTGTTACGTTAAGCTGTTTCAGTACATTTATAAGCTCAAAGCTTAGTTATACAAAAACTGATTTATAAGTTGTTTAACAAAGAATTTCAAGGGATTAATAATAAAGATTCAAATATCAATACTTCTGGTTTTATCAAAATGTTGTTTTAAAAAGTAGAGTAGACATTTTTTCTTTTTTATTTAATCAGGAACAATTAAATATGTGTTAGGGATTAACAAATTTTTTTAACATTTAAAGAAGATAGGTTGCATTTGTTTTTTCATTGTTCATACCTTTTAGAGTCTCAAGTTTAGTCTTAATAACGTTGCATTGTTCTTGGGTGAACCCTCCTTCCTTCAATGCCTTCTCAAACAATAATATTTTTACATTGGAATAATAATGATAATAATGGATAATGGATAATGGATAATGGATGAGCATGAGCATGAGCATGAGCATGAGCATGAGCATGAGCATGAGCATGAGCATGAGCATGAGCATGAGCATGAGCATGAGCATGTCAATGACAATGACAATGACAATGACAATGACAATAACAATAACAATAACAATAACAATAACAATAATAATAATATTGTTTCCTTCATAACTGAGGTTGAGAGATGCTTGAAGCAGGATTTCCTGATGTTGTTGTGCGGTGGGTTGTCCCAAACAGGGGTACCCTACATTATACATTAATTATTAGGATACAGCGGTACCCTACATTATACATTAATTATTAGGATACAGGGGTACCCTACATCATACATTAATTATTAGGATACAGGGGTACCCTACATTATACATTAATCAATAAGATACAGGGGTACCCTACATTATACATTAATTATTAGGATACAGGGGTACCCTCCATTATACATCACAGGGGTACCCTACATTATACATTAATTATTAGGATACAGGGGTACCCTACATTATACATTAATTATTAAGATACAGGGGTACCCTACATTATACATTAATCATTAAGACAGAGGGGTACCCTACATTATACATTAATCATTAAGATACAAGGGTACTCTACATTATACATTATTAGAATACGGGGGTACCCTACATTAGACATTAATCATTAAGATACAAGGGTACCCTACATTATACATTGATCAAATTAAAATTATTACCTTGGCATAACCCCATGCCATGATACTGTAGTCTACTAGAGAGAGCCACTGCTGACCCTCAGCTAGCATGCGCGCGCTCTCTACCAGGCACTTTTTGAACGCTTGAAGATGCACACTCACCCTAAACACAACACCCGATACGTAAAAAATGGCGCCAAAGTTTGAATGAATTTCAAGATTGTCTAGTTCGTATGCTTATGTTATTCAGCAAAAATATCAAAATTTAGAGAAACAAAATAAAGGCCATTGAAAAATAACTTATATGTTTCCCGAGACTTCGATAAACCGTTTCAACACGGAAAGGTCGTTTTTGAACGACTTTTAAATTCGACGCCGGGCACTTGAGCTAGTTGCTATATAGGACAGCTCTATTATTTACTCTAAATTTTTCTAATTTTGTGATACTTTAATCTGTAGAACAGGAACCGGAACCTTTACTGGATCGGGACAGTGAGAACCAGACAGTTACTTGGGCAACTGGCGTATTGGTATATACCTGTTAAATGCAAGGGAATCTGTTTTAGACTCAAGCCGAGTGTTGGGAAGGGCCTTGTATATATTCTTCTTCAGAAAATTCAATTTCTCCTCTAGAAAAATAGAACTATCAACAATTCAAAAACCGTTATTTCCTAGAAATGGTGTTTATGATTAAATATTGAGGTGATGAGGAAAAGCGAGAAAAGGGTGAAAAGGATATTCACGTGGCGGGGGTTCTTAGTGGGGTTGGGTGTGGGAGGTGAATTCACCAAGAGNGGGGGGTGTTCACCTAGAGGGTTCAGATCTGGAGTTGGAAGAAGAGCAGCAACCTCACTTCGCAGCTCCGGGTGGTTCATTAGAAGCTTCTCCACCAAGTTCTCCAGTTGCTTCTAAACGTAAGAAAATGATATATCAGTAATAAGTATTTATACTGCAGGGGTTTATATTTTTCAGTAAAAGAATTTAGATGCTCCGGTGGTTTGGAAGAGAGGCATGAAAACTGGGGCATCAAAAAGGCCTGTTTATTTGCCCCCTTTAGAACACTTTTATCCATCTTATATTCATCCTCCTTTATTCATTTATTTTTCCCAATATAGGAATAAACCCCAAAAATTTGTTTTGGGTCAAAAATATAGAAGAGAATGCATTCGGCATCGTTGTTTACTTTCTTTTAATACCAAATAGGGTGAATTTCTAAAATTCATAAGTTACTCTGAGAGGGGCATATATTTCATATGAAATACCAAAGATTTGAAAAAAAAACCGAAAAACTGGTCAAAAATCGGAAGCTTTTTCATACTTCTGGAAACTTACCTAATTTCTCCTTAAACTTATTTATTTTCCTAAATTTAACAATCAGAGTTCTTTCTTACTTTGGATATTGCTTTCATCGCTGTTTCCGGATTAAACCCCGGATCCGGATCCATTCTCAGCTTCTTAGCGAGAGGGGAAATCCTGAATTTATCCGGGGACGGAGAATAGAGCGCTGAGGGTACACCTGGAGGTGTGTCACTTAAACATAACCGTTTCCTGATAATAAATAGTTCTTGTCAGTGATGGCAGCATTAGTCTGGAGGTGATCTGAATCCTTGCTGGAGACAGCATCTCTGTAAGTGAAAAAAGCTCTTTTTTATAAAAATAATTAATTTCCAGTGAATTTTACATTATTTTCTTCTACAAATATTAGTGTAAGGAGCAAACTGGGCAACATTAATTAGTTTAAAAATTTTATATTATCCTCAGTGAATAATCTTAGAAATTGTTTATAAAATGAAGAAAGTTTAAACAAGAACGTTTTTCACGATTAGGAGAAGGAGGGGGGACATCTCCCTCAATGAGTTAATGAATATATTAACCTTGAATCCTTTGTCTGTGAGGGCTCCTGGAGATGTCTGGAGAGAAGGTGATTGGAACCTGTCTTCTACCTCGAGCCTATAGAGGAGAAGGATTAGGAGGCATATAGGAGAAGGAATAGGAGCCTATTTAGGAAAAGGATTAGGAGGCATATAGGCCAAGGATTTGGAGGCATGTATGAGAAAGATTAGGAGGCATATAGGAGAAGGATTTGGAGGCATGTAAGAGAAGGATTAGGAGGCATATAGGAGAAGGATTTGGAGGCATGTAGGATAAGGATCAGGAGTCATATAGAAGAAGGATTAGGAGGCATTTAGGAAAAGGATTAGGATTTAAGAAACATATAGGAAAAGGATTAGGAGGCATAAAAGGGAAGGGAAGACACAAACACAATTTAAAATGCTGCCTACCCTCAACTACATTGACAGAAGACATAGCAGGGTTTAGTGGAGAGTGTGCTGGCCATGTTTTTATGTCCATCAGATCAGAAAAGAAAAAAATGTCTGATTTACAACTGTGCCCATTACGTCTACCTCTACAGTCCCTTACATACAGGGTTACCCGCAAAGGATGAGACTTCAGAGCCGACTTTACGAAATTTATATACTGTCTGTTTCCTATAAATATGATATCCTGAAATATGGACTTCTTTCTTTCATTGCCAAATCATTAAATAAACCAATTAAAAACCACATTCGAGGCAGGATATTTATTTTTAACTTAAAATCGTTGTATTTGAAGAGTTTTCAGTCGTCTTTACAGTCTCATCCTTAGTTGGTGAACCTGTATAAAAGTCCTGGCTGTATTTTTACCTGTATTACCATTTCATCAGGAGATGGATTTGGACTGATCAAAGATACATTGAGATTTCCTAAATAGAATTGAGATAAAGAATTGAGATATCCTAAACAGAATTGAGATATCTTGAAAAGAATTGAGATTTCCTAAAAAGAATTGAGATTTCCTAAATAGAAATCAGATTTCCTAAATAGAATTAATATTTCCTAAATAGAATTGAGATTTCCTAAATAGAAATCAGATTTCCTAACTAGAATTGAGATTTCCTAAACAGAAATGAGATTTTCTAAAAATAGAACAGAATTCAAATTTGCTAAATGGAACTCAGATTTCCTAAATTGAATTTAGATTTTCTAAATAGAATTAAGTTTTCCTAAACAGAAATGAGATTTTCTAAATAGAATAGAATTCAAATTTACTAAATGGAATTCAGATTTCCTAAATTGAATTTAGATTTTCTAAATAGAATTGAGATTTCCTAAACAGAAATGAGATTTTCTAAATAGAATAGAATTCAAATTTTCTAAATGGAATTGAGATTTCCTAAATAGAATTTAGATTTCCTAAATAGAATTTAGATTTCCTAAACAGAAATGAGATTTTCTAAAAATAGAACAGAATTCAAATTAGCTAAATGAAACTCAGATTTCCTAAATTGAATTTAGATTTTCTAAATAGAATTGAGTTTTCCTAAACAGAAATGAGATTTTCTAAATAGAATAGAATTCAAATTTGCTAAATGGAGTTCAGATTTCCTAAATAGAATTTAGATTTCCTAAATAGAATTTAGATTTCCTAAATAGAATTTAGATTTTCTAAATAGAATAGAACAGAGTCCCAGATTAGGTGAACAACCAATACAACTCTTTTTCTATTAACTAACTTGAATGAGAATATGATAGAATAATCTATGTTCTGCGCATGTATCTCACCCCTCCCCCATCCACTTTAAACATGTTAAATCCCTCAGTAAATATTAGGATTAATTGAAATTTTTGTGAAATAGTTCAGGTTTAGATCACATTTCATATCTTAGATTATCAACATCCCCATTGGAGGGAGGGGGGAATTGTAATTCTAAATAAAATACAAGGGTGTGGCGTCGTTAATGATACCTTTTCCCAAAAAATCCTTTTTCCCCTTAAATATAATTTATTTGTCCCTAAAAATCATCTATTTTTCCCAATCTAGCAAAGAACCCCTTAAAATAATCTGAACACACCAAACTTCTGGNTAGAGATTTTCTAACAGGCAGGAAGAATGATTTTTCAAGAAAATATACACCCATGCTAAATTTTTACCCCCAAATTTTACTTTTACCAAATCAATTATAAAATGTTAGTTTTTATTTACCAGTTATATCCGTAGGTTGTCTATCTAACCCTCCTGGAGTAAGATATCCCATCTGAGCCTGGATTTCCTTTAATAAAAAATATAAAAATGGATTCCATATAAGTTCTGACTCTTTTAAAATTCGATTCATCTGCTATTAAAATTCAAGCCACTTAATATGAACCAATTTTCTAGCATTTGGGGAAATATTATAATTAATTACACATAAATACACTTCGAAATCAGATAGGCCGATTTAGTTGCAAAGTTAATTTAGCAGATTATGTTATTTGTTTATATCGATCATATATTATATGAATATCATTTTTTAAATTTGCTAAGTTTGACAAATTATTTCTTCCTTATATTTTTGCAACTCGAATGTCGTGGCCCGTTAATATCTCAAACTATGATCTTCTGTTAAGCTTTATATTCGTAAGTTGAATAATATATTATCAAAGGTTTACACCGCCAAGTTACAAATATATATGGATTAGAGATATCGAGTTTGGGGCAATAAACTCAGTTCCTTTATGAAGTTGTCAGTACGGTCGGAATTGATCTGACTCCCGATTTTTCTTGCTAACGTTCATGAAGTAAAGAATGGTTTGTGGCTTGAAACCAGTGCTTAGGATCCATTTATTTTGATGCGGATCCAGATCCTGGATCCACACTGAAAAAAAGGATTCGAATCTGGATCCAGGTCATAAAGGTTACTTAAGATTTACTATTTTTTTTATTAGAAAAATTTTGGAAATATTTTCTTACTTTTATTCCCACTTGTTTTTATGAAACAACTTGATGAACCATAAAGAAATAAGGACATTTTTGATAATTTCTCTTTTTTAAACAGTTTAGATTTGAGTTTTGGGAGCAAAAGATTTTTTTGCTGTTTTTGGGTGATATTTAGCCCTTAGATCCAGATCCAGATCCGGATCCGGATCCTAAGCACTGCTTTAAATAAAGTATAGTGATCTTACCTGGAGCGCTCTTGTCGTTTGTCGTGTAGTTGGGGACAATGGGTTGAGTAGGGAATTGAGAGGGGTGGAGATTCGACGGGGGGAGTAAATAGGCCTTGGGGAGTGGATGGCTCGTTGAGAGTTGATGGTCCTAGGGGAGTGAATGGTTCTCGGAGAGTGGAAGGTCCTCGGAGAAATTATGGTCCTTGAGGAGTTGTTGGTTCGTTGGGAGTTGATGTTCCTCGGGGAGTGGAGTGGTCTAATATCAGAAACATGGACGGATTGATGACGTGCAACGGGTCCTTGATGCTCCATAGCTCTCGAAGTCTAAAATATAAAAAAACACGTTTAAATATATGCTATACAGTAATAATCAGAAAAAAATGGAATAGGAAGACGACATTACAGCAATACTTGAGCGTTTTGATGTTGCTTCAAAGCAAATATTTTTACTAGCAACTTAGCTAAGTACAATTTAAGTGAAAAGGGTTTAAGTACACTGTACAAATGCTATATGTAATGTTCATTGAACATAGTTTAAGTCCTAATTTGAATTAAAAAGTAGTCTTCGTATTTCAGAATTTTCTGGTTATCACTGTATTTAAGAACAAATAACACTGATTGGCCTGACTGTCAAGTATTATGCATAAAATTCTGCCATTTACCAGCTATATGGGTAACAGACAGCTAGCTTGAATCAATGATAATTGGATCACAAAAAAGACCCCCATTCCTTAATCCCCATGTTATATGGTTGAGTTATTGATTGATAAATATATGGTTCAGTCCTAGTATACAATGTTTTGGAGCCCCCCGGCCCCCCCCAATTCTTTCCAATTCATACATGATCGACTATTTTTCAGAAAAATTATTTTTATTTATTTTGAAATAATTTAGTGTTTGGTCAGCTTAAGAAAATTTTTGGGTCAAACGCTGCATTTTAATTCAGACTAGGGAGTAGAGCGCTGCGGCTTTGTGGCCGAGCGCCGGGGCTAGGACATGCAGGCTACAGGGCTGGGCGCTGCAGCCAATGACCGATTATATCCATGTGTTAGAATGAGATGCATGCAAACATTGCAAAGGGGGGGGAGGGGGTCCAAAAATCGTATACATACCTAAATATATATTACCGTGATATCTGCAGAAGAACTGCTTGTCTTAATTTAACTGTTAAAACACTTAAATAATGCACATATTCATTGCAGGATCGTTTCATACAAACAATATTTCACTGCGATATTCCTATTCAATGGAAATAATGGATATAAACATATATTCACACTAATTCACTAATTGGCCTGTAAAATGTAGTAGAAAATATGTGAAGTTGCGAGTGTGACTTTGAGGTTGTGAATGTGTACAGTAGTCACCATAGTCAGTATTATTATATTTCGCAGATTACGCTATAGCATCACACGCAGGCAGTATGTTTTGGCGGGAAATATTTCAGACCAATCAGGTGTCCGAACTCAACTTCTCAAGTGCATGCAGCCAATCAGATTCTTGTATAGCAAGGAGGAAGGAGGGGGATTAAGGACAAGGTACAAAGGGGAGTAAGGGAAGTAAGGTGTAAGGCTGATGGGACAGGTTGAGGGGGGGGGGAATACCGGTTTCATGTTTGGGACTAGTTTTAAACTCTTGATAAGCTACAACTGATTCCTCATACTTTATACTGAGAGGACTAATTAGGCTAAGGCGTATACAGAGGGGGGCTAGGGGGCAGTCCCCCTCCTAGACCATGGGGGCGTAGCCCCCCCTATATTATATATAGATTATTTATTATAACTATAAAGCAATAATCAGAACAGCTTCTCAGTTTTCATATTTATTATATTTATTATAGGTATACAGCGGTTACGAGAATTCTAACCTTCTCAATCCAACTCTCAACTTTATCAATAATTTGATTAAAGCCACAGGAATATTTTAGGAACCTTATAAAATTAAGATGAAAAGCAATTTAAATGTTTCGTTTATTGAAATCTATCTTTTGTCCCGGCGATGGCAATGGTATGAAAAATATCTCGAGATTGAAGTAAATTTTATGCGTCTTTGTAACTATTGCAAATATACTGTAACCTCTCTGCATTAAGTGGACTTTTAACGAAATTTAAAATACTCCTCAAAAAAATTTGCATATCGGATTAACATCGATACTGATTTCTTCTTTACCGGAGCAACAATGAAGAAGGGGTGTCATATCTATATTTAAAAGTGTATTTAACAGCGGGAAATTTATTTCCTCCTCTCGCTGAATTAATCTGCAAGTAACTTTTGCTTTGACGAAGGTGTAAACGGTATCTTTGTGAATCCAGATATTGACTTGAAATCACACCCACAGTCCTTTAATCAAACGCGGGTTCTGTACATGTCTTTAACGAAAAACATTTCCTGTCTGAGAGGATAGAATAACTTTGTTTAAACACTGCTAATATGTATTTCTAAAACTCAATTTAGAAATGAAAATTAAGAATTTCTAGTTTGGTTGTTAAATTACAAAATATATCCAGGATTCGAGAAGCAAGAGATAATAGCGAGGAAAGTTTTCATACATTATAAAAAAAAATCCGGATGACATAATTGAAAATATTTGATCATTGAAAAATATATATTTTTAAATTACATAGATTCTAGGCGCTTTGCGCCCCCTTCACTATTAACAATTTTAGCTTTTAAATGTTACATGCTCTCAAAGTGACAATCGTTCTCAGATTTTGGCAAATTTTCCATTTAAATTGGCGCATTTTTAAAAATAATGATTATTGACATTTTTTTTCTAGGACCAATTTTTTTTAATTTTTACAATCTATAAAGTATAAATTTTCCCTGGGGTCATGTGAGTTGCTTTAGAAAATTTGGGCCCGATCGGCTCAGCCGTTTTGAGTTTCAGGAGTATAGCGGATTTGCGTAGGTCGAAAGATAATACACAACCATTTCATCGTCTTAGTTAGAGTTTTGGATAGTTATAAATAAAACGCGGTAACTTTTAAGTATTGCGCTAACTCAACTTTATTGTAAACAAAATTTAGTTACACTTAACGTAGAAAAGATCATGGTCGTACAAAGCGAAACGTAGTATCAAGAAGAGACCTTGGAAATTAGACAATTACATTATAGAGGGTTCAATTGAAGGGTATGTCATAAAGAATGATTTTTGGACCACTGAAAACTTTTTAAGTTAACACTTCGGAACGAACAAAAGAAACCTAATTAAAATAGAAATTAAAACCTGGGCTTTAATTTATAACTTTTCTTCTTCAAACTTTTATTTATCGAAGAATATAAAAAATCAGAAACAAATCATTGATATCGGTTTAAACATATAATTTTGAGTGCGATATATTTCAGGTTTAGAAATGTTTAGAAATGTTGGAGTTTGTTTAAAGTTTTCACTTAATTTGTCAATAAGAGGAGGATGGACGAATTACAGTCTGTTCAGTCCGTGCAGTCAGTACAGTCACAAGCCTACCCATAAGCTGGAGACAGAAAAAAGGTGTAACTTTTATCTTTAATCTAATTTCTTAACTTCAAATGTTTATTAACGAATAAATACGAAGTTCAACTTATTGCATATACAAATCTGTATTAATAAGTAAGCATATGTTTTCTGTTTTTAATTGTTCAATAAACTCTTTGTTCCTTAAAAGAGACTGTCAACATATTCAAGAGACCCTCTAGAGATACATGTCTGATTCACAATGGTACTCTTGAAACCATCGTCTGTTTTCTCTCAGAAAATTGATCATTGAAAAGTGTCAAAAAAGGGATAACAAAGTTTAATGTCCAATTAGTCATTTTATTTCTCGAGGATGCGGCGGGGAAGGGTATCTCAAGATTATTATATTTAATTTAAACTTGTAATTAAATTAAATAAGTTGTATTGCTAATATTTCCACCTGAACTTAATTATAAGTTTAACCTTCTTAATTCTAGGAAAGCTGAAAAACCATGGAAGAAGAAGAAGAAGAAAAATATAGAGGAATATTTGCTGAAAGTATGTAAATTTTTAAGTCTTCTTATCTGTCTGCACAGGTTACTCGATAGCTAATCCTGCCGTTTACCGGTTCTTGGTCGAATTTACCGGGAAACTAAATTTTCGCTATAAAAGTCGACCCACTCAGATTATAATTTTATGTCCAGTCCCGTGGTTCTCCCGAATTCTCAAACAAAAATTTGAGGCAAATCAGTCCAGTGGTTCCTGAGTTATAATCAGACAAACAAACAGACAGACAAGGATTATTACTTTATTATAGACTAGCTTGGGAACCGAGCGTTACACAGCGGGGTCATAGGAAGTCCCACCGATTACCAGCGCTTTGTCGTAAGTTACGATTTTAACTATTTTTCCCGACAAAAGTAGATCCACTGAAACTAAGCTAAAAACACTGCCGTGGCTCTCCCGAGGTCCCCAATCAAAATTTGAGGCAAATCGGTCTAGGGGTTCCTGAGTTATGATCGGAAAAACAAACAGAGAAACAGAGATTACACCTTTATATATATATTATATATAGATTATTTATTATANACATACAAATACATATATATTTAAAGAATCTCAGCTAAAAAAATTTAATATATTTCAGGATTATACTTTGCGGCAATCATTAGTAGATTAATCCTGACAAATATATATATATATATATATATATATATATAGATATCCTAAAAAAATGAAACCAATTTTAGAGAAAGAAAGTTGCAGGAAAGTTTATCCGTCGAAGAATTGGAAATCAGGTGCTCAAATTATTAATATATTAAATTGTTAAATGATTAAATATAAACTCATCAATTGAGCAAAATTTTATTTATTTATTCTATTTTATTTATTGGTGAATTAAAACCATATCCTTGTAATAGTGAATTAAAACCATATCCTTGTATTGGTGAATTAAAACAATATTCTTATATTGGTGAATTAAAACCATATCCTTGTATTGGTGAATTAAAACCATATCCTTGTGTTGGTGAATTAAAACCATATCCTTATATTGGTGAATTAAAACCATATCCTTATATTGGTGAATTAAAACCATATCCTTGTATTTGAGAATTTAAAGCATATCCTTATATTGGTGATTTAAAACCATATCCTTACATTGGTGAATTAAAACCATATACCTATATTGGTGAATTAAAACCATATCCTTACATTGGTGAATTAAAACCATATACCTATATTGGTGAATTAAAACCATATTCTTATACTGGTGAATAAAAACCATATCCTTATATTGGTGAATTAAAAACATTTTCTTGAATTGGTGAAATAAAACCATAGCTTTTCTAAAGCCAATGATTCTAAACCCTGATCACTTGAAATATTAAATATCTAGCTATTTCATTAACAGTATTTTCATTGTTAAAGATAATCTAAATAAACTAGGCTTTTAGGGCGCTTCGCGCCCATCTTCTATTTAAATTGTGAACATGTTCTTTTTGTTTACATTTTAAAACAAAGAAGAAAACAATTTTGCGGATTTTCAAGAATTTAAATTTTTTTACAAAATTAAAAATCTTTAAAACACATTTTTTTAAATTTTTATCATTCATATACCTTCCATGTGGTCACGTGATGTCCCACAAAAAATTTGGGCCCGATCGGGTCAGCAGTTTTGACGTTTATTGGATGCAAACAAACAAACAGACACCCAAACAGACAAGCCAAATTTATATATAGATTGTTGAAGCAATATTTTATTTATTAATTCTGAGCTAAATTTTTTCAGTTTTCTAACCAATCTCCGTGTAAAATGAATCAGTCAATCAATTGATGTTGTAATCAATTGTGAATAATTTAAAACAGATTTTAACTTAAGAGGGTTGGCTGTGAGAGATTTAGAAATATGTCCTAAGTTTCTAGTTCCCTCCTGTTTAGGGGGACAAATCGAGATCAAACTTAATAAAGGTAAAAATACTTTCTCAGAGAAACAATATTATTTTACAAAGTTAAAAAAATAAACAAATGTTTTTCCCCAAACCATGACAAGGGGTTGTGGAAATATTAAATTCTAAGCTTGTGCCTTCGTTTTAGTTCAAATTTGACAATTCTTTCGACTATTTTTCTGTTCTTGGAAAATTTTCAATTTTTTAAAAATTATAAGATTTTAGGAATATTTTAAATCTTCACCTGTCAAAACCTTTCCTGATGTCATGTAAGGTTTCATAAAAAAAACCGGTTCAGCCGTTTTGACGTATATCGATAGAAGAAACCAATAAATAGACAAGTCTGATTTATATAAATAGATAATGCATCCAGCTGATTCTATTCTAGTTGTATCGAGTATATCCCCTGGAATAACATGGAGGAGAGGATCATTAATTACTCTTCAGTTCTCACCAGACGGAAACTTTAATGATCTAAGTATGTTTACAGCGGAGACATCTATCATTGAAATAATGAACTAAGTTTTTTTAAAGGTTTTGGAATGTTAAAAGGGAATAAAAAATAAAACTTTAAGGTTCAGGATTCATCTCTCTTTTATGAAGGGGGGGGGGAGTTGATGAAAATAGGTCAAATGCTTGGAATTTAACTCTTAATATTGTTTATTTGGCAGTGTTCAATTCACTGTGAACACTAAAAAATATTTTATTTCTGTAAAATTTATAAAATGTTATTTTGTAATGAATACCACATTTTATAAAGATAAAATCTTAAAACACATTAGATAAATTAAATAATGGTAATAAAATTACAATTTTGATGATAAAAAAGTAGAATACCCACAATAATATTGGTCCGAATAAAAATACTAATACAGATAATGAATGAAGCAACACAAATTTTTATTTAGAGAATTGGCAAGAGGTATTTGGGATTATTTCGCATAGAAGTACTCATAGTTTAAATATAAGGTACTAACTGTATATTTGTATGCAATAAACTTACTTCTTAAAAATTTCGGGTTTTTTGGGGGGACGATAATTGTATCCATCAGGCATTTTATTTCTACTTGTTTCCTAAAAAAGTAATTTTACCAAGGAGATAAATTTCAAAATTCTTGTAAGGATTTACGGAGAAAAGGGGTTGGGGGGTTGGGGTTTGAATTTGAGCAATTTCTCTTTAAACTAAAAAAATATGCTAAGAAAAAACCTTTCTTATACGTTTTTTTCTTTTTTTTCAGATTAAACAATTTATCGCCATTTGTTCTGAAGAAACTTCAGCGTGGAAATGATAGCGACGCGGGTCAACTTAGGATTGTCAAAAGAAGCGAACAGCAGATATACAAGTAGGTGTAGGGTCAGGCATCGACAAACAAACTGAACAGCAGATGTAGAAGTAGGTGTAAAGACAGGGATTGATTAAGGAACTGAACAGCACTATACAACGCGTAGAGTCAGGCATCTTTAAACGAACTGAACAGCAGATATACAAGTAGGTGTAATGATAGGGATCGTTTAAACGAACTGAACAGCATATATACAATTAGGTTTAAAAACAGGGATCGTTTAACGAACTGAACAGCAGATATACAAGTAGGTGTAAAGACAGGGATCGTTTAACGAACTGAACAGCAGATATACAAGTAGGTGTAAAGACAGGAATCGTTTAACGAACTGAACAGCATATATACAAGTAGGTGTAAAGACAGGGATCGTTTAACGAACTGAACAGCATATATACAAATAGGTGTAATGATAGGGATCGTTTAACGAACTGAACAGCATATATACAAGAAGGTGTAATGATAGAGATCGTTTAACGAACTGAACGGCAGACATAGTGAAGGTTAGATATTACACCGAATGACATTAAAACGTACTAAAAATATCCTATTCAGTTTATATTTTTGTTTCTAGAAATCAAGACTTAAGTTTGAAGGAACTTCTAAAGAGAAAAATCAAACTGAACCGTGAAACACCAATTGGAACGATCTTCAATATTCTATTCAGGGACAAACACTTCAATTTATTTCTCTGATCTTTTAATTATAAAATACAATCTTATATAGCTATTAGCTGCTACCAATCTATTTTTTTTATTAATTCTAGGCTTATTGGTCGCTGTGCAGTGTGCACCTCTGTTCTACACTATCAGATTTAAACTGTTGCTTATCAAGTCGCCATTTTTTATTGCACGCCACTTCGATCTGCATGAAACCAACATTTTTGTAGATTTTTCTGTTTAAATTGGCGGATTTTTAAAAGTTATAAATGCCGACATTTTTTCAGGCAAAATTTTCTATTTTGCCCGTCCATTATTAATCGTACCTTTGGGTAGTTAGATATTAGTTATAAATTTTCTGATTTGCTACAATTTTATGAGATGTATTTAGCACCTAAAAAAATGCTTCAAAAATGGTTTTGTCTGTTAAAGTGGCGAAGAAAAAATCTTAAAACTGGAGAAGCACAGTGAAAATATAGAAAATAATTTTGACACAAGAAACATTGAAAAGGACGAAATAATGGATAAAGAAAATTATTCTGCTAATCTGATAAATCCCGAGAAAATGAGAGATATTAATGAAGATATTGTTGAGAAAAATAACATTGAGCACACAACTATTATTTATGATAAACGGCTCTACCAAGATGGACAAAAAATGAAAGCTATTGGTAATGTTTTCCTTATTAATTTTTTTTTCATTTTGTAAAATATTTTACTTTTAGAATTGTGCAGTAGGTGTGAGCCTTTAACCCTCATACATGGACCTCCTGGAACAGGCAAGTTTTGTCTTAAAAAAACCTCAAAAATAAATCTGAAAATCTAAAAATTTTAGGAAAAACTACAACTCTTGCTGCAGCTGTGTTAAGTGCTGTTGCAAATGGAGAAAAGGTGTAAATAGACTAAATTATTGATAAATTAATTTTAAAAAGTCCTTTTGAGTCCAAGCCGATAAGTCTCTCGACCCATCTAAATACTAAGGTGTGAGCCTCAAGGGGAGGAAGCCTGATTGGACCACACATTGTTATTTACAGGGTTGGAAAAAACCCAGGCCAAATCAAGGGTATAATGCAAGGAAAGTTAATTGCGGTCGTGTATACTCTGCGTACACATTGAAACCAGTTCTCTTTGGGCAGAATTTGTAAACACGAATAGATGCATTCGTTTAGTATTCGAGGAGGTTAAAAGCATTACATTTTGATAATTTTGATAATTCACATAATAGTTTCCTATGACCAGAATATTTCATTGATTTTTTTTATGTGAAAGATGAATCCCATGTCAGGCAGTGCACTGCAGTACAAAAAATGTTTACACTTCTGAAATAACTTTCCTTGCATTAGTACCTTGGGCCAAATAGGATTTACCGAAAAATTCATATTTAACATTTATTTCAGCATAACTGAAATTCCACTAAGTTGCCCGTGGAACATAAAAAGACCTTACGTAATTCTAGAACCTTTTTATCTAATTTAGATTGTACAAGATTCTAGAACCTATTTATTTAATCTAAATTGTACATAATTCTAGAACCTTTTTAACTAATCTAGATTCTACAAGATTTTAGAACCTTTTTATTTAATCTAGATTGTACAAGATTCTAAAATCTTTTTTATTTAATCTAGATTCTACAAACTTCTAGAAGCTATTTATCTAATCTAGATTGTACAAGATTCTAGAACCTTTTTATCTAATCTAGATTGTAAAAGATCCTAGAACATTCTTATCTAATCTAGATTGTACATGATTCTAGAACCTTTTTATTCAATCTAGATTGTACAAGATTCTAGAACATTTTCATCTAATCTAGATTGTACAAGATTCTAGAACCTCTTTATCTAATTTAGAATGGGCAAGATTCTAGAACCTGTTTAGCTTATCTAGAATGTACACGTTTCTAGAACCTTTTATCAAATCTTGATTGTACATGATTCTAGAACCTTATCTAATTTAGATTGTTCTAGATTCTAGAACCTTTTTATCTAATCTAGATTGTAAAAGATTCTAGAACCTTTTATTTATTCTATGATGTTGTCTTTTATCTAAAACATATTTGTGACACAGCAAATGTGTAATCAACCTTGTTTATCTTTCAGGTTCTTGTTGTAGCACCAAGTCATGCTGCCTGTGACGCATTTACGCTTGCTTTAGCCAAACAATGGCCTAGGTTCGTTGTACAAACTTTAGACCGAAATATTGGCCCAATTTGACATTTTCCCGAATTACATTTGCCCGAAGATAGATTTGCCTGAAGATTGATTTGCCTGAAGATAAATTAGCCTGAAGATAGATTTGCCTGAAGATACATTTGCCCGAAGATAGATTTGCCCGAAGATAGATTTGCATGAAGATAGATTTGCCTGAAGATACATTTGCCTGAAGATAGATTTGCCTGAAGATAGATTTGCCTGAAGATACATTTGCCCGACGATAGATTTGGCTGAAGATAGATTTGTCTGAAGATACATTTGCCTGAAGATAGATTTGCCTGAAGATACATTTGCCTGAAGATACATTTGTCTGAAGATACATTTGCCTGAAGATACATTTGCCTGAAGATAGATTTGCCTGAAGATAGATTTGCCTGAAGATACATTTGTCTGAAGATACATTTGCCTGAAGATACATTTGCCTGAAGATACATTTGTCTGAAGATAGATTTGCCCAAAGATAAATTTGCCTGAAGATAGATTTGCCTGAAAATAGATTTGCCTGAAAATAGATTTGCCTGAAGATACATTTGCCTGAAGATACATTTGTCTGAAGATACATTTGTCTGAAGATAGATTTGCCCAAAGATAAATTTGCCTGAAGATACATTTGCTTGAAGATACATTTGCCTGAAGATAGATTTGTCTGAAGATAGATTTGCCCAAAGATACATTTGTCTGAAGAAACATTTGCTTGAAGATACATTTGCCTGAAGATAGATTTGTCTGAAGATACATTTGCCCAAAGATAAATTTGCCTGAAGATGCATTTGCCTGAAGATACATTTGCCTGAAGTACATTTGCCCTGAGATGCAATTGCCTGTTGGTACATTTACCCGAACTTTAAAATCTCAGAGCTACTTTTCAGATCTCATTACTAAAAATAAATTTCTTTAAGATTAGTTTTGAACATTTAAAGTACTAAAAAAATATTTTACAATAACATGCGGACATTATTCTATGATCTAAAATAGCAATAGCTGAAAAAAAATCATAAATGTTGGACACATGTAAAAGTGCAATTAATTAAATTATATACACAAATTCTAATTAGGTATTCTCTGCCACTTACATTATTATTAGATATAAGCAAAAAGATTATTTCTTAATGATAATTTAGTTTATTTTTATTTATTTGTTTACTGTTCAGGTCAATTGAAAAATCTTTTGTGCGACTTGGAAACAGTTTAAGGTGATTTGAAACCATAATGAATGGAAAACTTCAATTAAAGATTCATTTTTTCCCCCATAATTTTTTTCAATTCAGTGATAAAAGACTCTTAAAAGAGAGGAAAGAATGAGGTTAAGCATATTATATTTCTCAGCAGATTACATTCTCATGAACTAATATTTTGTCAACCATTAAATGTTCTAATTGTTAATCATTAATTTTTGCATTATTTTACTATCAGTTTTTATTCCAGATTTACAAGTGAGGATGTAGCCTTGTACAGTACTGACAAAATTTCACCGTCTGCTAAATTGGAGGATTTGCAGGATCAGCTGTTTCATGTCAGAAATCAACTATTGGATAACAGTTGCAAAGTTAGTCTTCTAATAAATTATTATGCTAGGACTATTGATTTACTTATTGATTAATCGTATAACTAATTGATTGATTGGAAATTGATTAAATTGCTTAAGCGTAAAACTAATTGATTGATTGTAAAACTTACCAACCTACATATTCAATAAACCTACCAACTAATCAATGAGATCAATCAACCATGTAATCAATGACTCAATAAACCAGCAATTAAGTCAATAAAGCAAACAATCTGTTAATCACCCAACTATTGGTCAATTGACCGAACAATTTGTCAATCTACCGAACAATCTGTCAATCAACTAAACAATGATTTAATAAGCCAAACAATCTATCAATCAATCAATCAACAACTCCATTAACCAGATAATCAGTCAATAAATCAAATATTCAGCAGTTAATTAACCAAACAATCAGTTCATTAACCAAACAAACACCCTAACGACCAAATAATAAAAGTCAATAAACAGAACAATCTGTTGATCAACTAAACAATTAGTCAATCAACCAACAATAAGTCAATCAACCAACAATAAGTCAATAAACCAAACAATCAGTCAATAAACCAACAATAAGTCAATCAACCAACAATAAGTCAATAACACAACAATAAGTCAATAAACCTCTAATAAGTCAATAAACCAACAATAAGTCAATAAACCTCTAATAAGTCACTAAACCAACAATAAGTTAATAAACCAAACAATCAGTCAACAAACCAAAGAATCTGTAAATCAACCAAACAATCAGTCAATAAACCAAAGAATCTGTAAATCAACCAAACAATCAGTCAACAAACCAAAGAATCTGTAAATCAACCAAACAAATAGTAAATAATCAACCAAACAATCGATCTAAAGAATTTGGTTAAATTACATAATTTTGTTTGTTTTCTTCTTAAATTTCAGCTTCCCTGTTTTAGGGGAAAGGTTCTGTGATGCTAGAAGAAAAATATTTAACAAGGAAATTATTTTTTCATTTTTAATTTATTACAAAAATTCAGATTATCAATAGAATTGGTGCTAGTTTTAATACATCCTATATTTTTGTAAACTAAACTTATAATATTCTTATTTTTAACTAGACTAGGGGTTGACGAAAAATGGAAATTAAGTTTTTAAAGCATTTAAAAAAGATTTGCTAATGGGCATACGTAGAAAATACAAGAATCTTTTTTTTTTGGAAATTTGGAATTAAAGAAAATTAAAGATTCAAATTTAATAAATATGTCCAGTCAGTGTTTACGAAATGATTATAAAGATTATCTCTGTAGAGAATATTGGACGGAGGGCAAAGAGAATGAAAAAAAAGTTATCAAATCTTCATCAGTTGTTATCACAACAATTATGCATGCAACAAGCTTAATTAAATATTTCAAGGTGACTCCATTTCCTAAATTACATTAAAAGGACTGTCCTTGTTTTTTCCTGTGACCTTCTGTTCATAGAGAAGTATGCCTAATTCACAACAGTATCTATATCCCATAATTATTTGGAAGAAATAGTCGTTTTTTTACTTGGAAAACTCTTAAAGTTTCCTCAACTTTTAAGCACAAGTCACTTTGTAAAGTAANAAATATAAAACTTAGAGACCAAAAAATAATAATAATAGAACTATAATACTTAGAGACTTGATAATAGATATATAATACTTAGAGACCAGAAAATAATACTAATAGATATATAATACTTAGAGACCAGAGAATAATAATATTAAATATATAATACTTAGAGACCAGAGAATAATAATGATAAATATATAATACATAGAGACCAGAAAATAATAATAAGACCAGAAAAAGATCAGACAAAGTTTTTAAGAGTACGACTGTTCATCGTTCTTGAGAGTTGCTAAAATATATCTCAATAAAATTAACTAAAATTTGATAAGAAACTGAAAGAATTTTACTTAATTCTTATTTCAGTTGAACTATTTTAATTGAAATAGATATATTTTAAACTAACTTGAGAATCCAGCGTTGCCCAAGGGTACTCATATCCTGCTGTTTACCCGCACTTGGTTTTAAATTATGACTTTAGCTATTTTTCCCCATAAAAGTAAACCCACTCAACTTAAAATATCAAAACTATGCTAAGAACATTCCCGTGGTTCCCCCGAGGTCCCCAATCAAAATTTGAGGCAAATCGGTCCAGGGGTTCCTAAGTTATGATCGGACAAACAAACAATCAATCAGACAAACAGAGATTACAACTTTATTGATTTCAGGAAAAAGAATTTGATTTATTTGTTATTGACGAGGCTGGGTTTACGCCAGGTAATTGAAAAATATTATAAATTAATAAAACTGTGAATTTGTTAAGTTGTTATTGTCAACCATCTTTAATTAAAGAAATGTCGTAAAGTATTTTGTATTTTTCAACTTAGAAAATTTCCTTTGGGTTTAAGATGTGGCAAGTAGTGCGTCGATAACACTCTGATTGATTTGATTTGATAATTTTAGCTAGAAGCACCCTGTCCTTGATATACTTTTATATATTTAGCTAGTAGCACCCTGCCCTTGATATACTTTTATATATTTAGCTAGTAGCACCCTGCTCTTGATAAACATTTATATATTTAGCTATTATCACCCTGCCCCTGATAAACATTTATATATTTAGCTAGTAGCACCCTGCACCCTGCCCCTGATAAACATTTATATATTTAGCTAGTAGCACCCTGTCTTTGATATACTTTTATATATTTAGCTAGTAGCACCCTGCCCTTTATCTACATTTATATATTTAGCTAGTAGCACCCTGCCCCTGATTTACATTTATATATTTAGCTATTAGCACCCTGCCCTTTATCTACATTTATATATTTAGTTAGGAGCACCCTGCCCTTGATATACTTTTACAAAATTAGCTAGTAGCACCCTGTCCTTGATATCCTTTTATATATTTAGGTATCAACACCCTGCTCTTGATTTGCATTTATATATTTAGCTATTAACACCCTGCCCTTGATATGCATTTATATATTTAGCTAGGTAGCACCCTGCCCTTAATATACATTTATATATTTAGCTAGTAGCACCCTGTCTTTTATATACTTTTATATATTTAGCTATCAGCACCCTGCCTTTGATATACATTTATATATTTAGCTAGGAGCACCCTGTCCTTTATATACATTTACATATTTAGCTAGTAGCACCCTGCCCTTGATATACTTTTATATTTAGCTAGTAGCACCCTGCCTTTGATATACTTTACTTTATATATTTAGCTAGTAGCACCCTGTCCTCGATATACTTTTATATATTTAGCTAGTAGCACCCTTTCCTTGATATAACTTTATATATTTAGCTAGTAGCACCCTGTCCTCGATATACTTTTATATATTTAGCTAGTAGCACCCTGCCCTTGATATAAATTTACATATTTAGCTAGTAGCACCCTGTTCTTGATATACTTTTATATATTTAGCTAGTAGCACCCTGCCCTTGATATACATTTATATATTTAGCTAGTAACACCCTGTCCTTGATATAAATTTATATATTTAGCTAGCAGCACCCTGCCCTTGATATACTTTTATATATTTAGCTAGTAGCACCCTGCCCTTGATATCCTTTTATATGTTTAGCTAGTAGCACCCTGCCCCTGATATACTTTTATATATTTAGCTAGTAGCACCCTGCTCCTGATATCCTTTTATATATTTAGCTAGTAGCACCCTGCCCCTGATATACTTTTATATATTTAGCTATTAACACCCTGCCCTTTATATCCTTTTATATATTTAGCTAGTAGCATCCTGCCCTTGATATACTTTTATATATTTAGCTAGTAGCACCCTGCCCCTGATATCCTGGGCTCCTCGTCTTCTTCTTGCAGGAGATCATCATCAACTCCCTCCAGTAGTTCTTACCCAGGAGGCTAAGCTATTGGGGTTAGATATTAGGTATCTCACCCTAAAACTTTTAATTGAGTTAGAGCTAAACTAAAAATAGTAACTCGGTATTCTTAATGGGAACCTTTGAATTCAGCAGTTTATCGCATTTGATCGCAAGAAAACAATAAAATAGAGAAATTATTGGCCGTTTGTTCCACTCAGTATTAATCCTGACTTCTAATTGGTTGAGGTGGGAATTATCTGGACCTTTTATTGGTCGAATTTTCGAACTTTAACCAATGAGTTAATATAAAACTGTAGGAAGGGGGTTATTTTTGCAGGACATTCTTATTTGTTGATCTATTGTTTGATTGATTGATTTTATTTAGTTTGTTTGAGATGCTGGCCGGAAAGATGAAAGATCAAATCTGTATGCTGGAGACTCAGTACAGGAACATTATACTTATTTATTCATTTTTACAATATTCGTTCCTAGATTCAGATAACATTCTATCTCCTTAAGACTTAATACCTTAATTCTTGTCCTATGATAGGTAGCTGTTGGGTACACAGCTGTCACTTTGACAGCCAGTCCCCGGAAGGGACCTAAGGGACACGGCATAATTAATTTGTGCTCCTGTCGGGCAGGAGGCTTGGACTTCAAACTGCTATCTGCACTATGGTTTACTTTGGGTTCCCTTTCAGATCTACACTTGATTTGGATTTAATTGTCTGAGAATCATGTCGATTTGACACATTTTTTAAAGGATTTGGTCAACTTTTTCAAAACACTTAAAATACCAACCCCACATACAATACAATCAGAGTTTTAAAAGAATAAGTGATATTATTATTACGCATTAGTATTCTCTTCTTTGTTGAATATTAATTTCAAAGAGTAATGTGCGGTTGTAGATCGCATAATATGATCGCTGGCTGGAGCAGTCAACATTTTTATAAGAACAGGTAAATCAGACTTTGAAGTAGGTGTGCGACATTTTTATATACGGAGTCGTTTAACTAGAAAACTTGTTTATTTAAAACATTACTGATACACGCTTCAATGTACATAATTTCGAATAATGCAAATCATAATTTATATTTTCATATGTTTGGAAACGTTTTTTTTACCGGAGCCTAACCCTGATTTCCTTGATCTGTGATGATGACTGATCTCTTTATTGATTTATTTATTTTTTAGATATTTTTCTTGTCCAAGCTTTTGTGAAGTGTTGATAAATTGCATTAGTTTTATTTATCAATAATCATCATATCTTCTCTTAGGTGCAATATGGCAGTTTTTTTAAAGCTTTTTAAATCTCAATTTTCATGGGTTAATGATACAGGGTGTCTCACGAAGTATGATAGTTGATAGGTAAATATCGCCTTTGATCTTTGAAACTTTTTGCGGCATTGATTCGTCAGCTTTGTTTTACAAGTAAAGTTCTTGAATTAACAATTACAAACTTCCACTAGTCTTAGCATTTATGAAATGTGGTCTGCCTCTTCAGTGCTTTCAAAATTACCTGAGTCACATTTACAAAATTTTAGTTTCATTCAAGAATTTAAAATATTAAAGAGATTCATTTTATCTTGGAGAATTTTGAACTGCAGACCACATTTTGGAAATGCCAGGACTAGAGGAAAATATTGATTATTGCTTTACTGAAGAAGGATGACGACTAATTGCCGTAAAATAGTTCAAATATCATAGACGTTCTTCAAGTCGTCTCTTAACTGTAATGTTTTGTGGAACACCCTGGTATATTGTTTGATAAAGTTTTTCAACTTCTCAAAAAATTTCAAATTCCAGGTTGATCAATTTTAGTACTTCTTCTAAGACAACCTTTTAGTTGAATCTTATACTTTTGTTTAGATTAGTGTCCGCTGATATTGTGTCAAAGATTCTTGTCCAAGATCTCATCAAGCTTTCAAATAAAAGGAACGCATTCAAAACTCTGGATTTGAATTGAAATATGTATTATCAGACTTAGAGATTATAGAAACAATGATAGCCAGAATAGTGTGGAATATTTAGACGACATTGCAAATTTCTTGGTTTTTTTCAATCTGTGACCCAATTGTCTTTTTCATTGTTCTCCAATCTGGGTAACTTCTTTACACATTTTCATTTAAAAAACCACAATAACCAGAAAATTGTGGCATGAATATGTCTTAGTTCTCCATTTTACATTAGATAAGTCGCTAAAAAAAGTGTTGCAATTGTTGTAACTTTTGCACTTTTAAAGAATTTTAAAAAATTTAACTGAAAGAAAAAAGAAGACGACGAGAATTTCACGGTCTCGCTGTACATCTAGGGTCGGTATTGGTTTAAACCTTGAAGGGTTTGTCTAATAATTGAGTTATGTGTAAGTTTCCAATTAAAATTAGAAGAAATAAGAGAAAAAAAAAAACAAAACAAAAAACATGAGAACTGAATTAATTGTTATCAGACCGTGAACACACTAAAATAATGTTTTTGAGTTGCTAAATTTAGTTATTCAAGAGGAAATATTCTAACTGCAAGTCCTTTATTACTTCTAGACACTTCAGGTTAGTTGTATATTGTAAAATTAGTGTTTGTTTACGCAATTTTTAATAAAAATACGCGAATCATAAATGGTCAAAGTATCAAAAGTTACAATAAAAAATGCTGGGAAAGAATTTTCTTTAAAACTGTTGTCTTCTTCACGGCATTTTTTGGTTTTGAAATTGTTTATACAAGAAGTACCTTTTAAACCTTTATTATTAGCAATGATTAATTTTTCTTTCTAAAAGGTGTAGAGTTCCGTTTTGTCTCTGACGCATAAATGCACAATCGAATTTTAGAAGGAATCGCAGTTGAAAATGATGAATTTTTAGAGAGAAAAAATATAGATATCTCATTCATTATTGAACAGTCAAAGCTGATAAGGGCGCCGTTGTGAATCTGACATCCCACGTTATAAATGGGTAATCACTTGAATTTACGTCTACAGTCCCTTTAACAATTAAAACGAGAATTATGATTTCACATTTCTTTTCTCTAGGATTGGATTGGACTGAGGAGGCCGAAGATGAAGAATCAATCAGGTTTTATCATTTTCAAAAAAAAATGTATTTTATTGACGTGAAAGTAAAATCAATTGTAAAAAGAAGTGTTCTAAAATTAAATTTTGCCTAGCACACTGAAACTGTCGCAATAGCAAAAATCGTAGCAGAGCAATTGGTTAAAACTATTGGAGATTTTTTACTCAAATCCGTGAATTATTCTTATTTTCTAGTAACCCAGACGAGGCCGTGTTAGTGGCAGAACTAGTAGAGAAATATTTACAGATGGGTGTTTTACAGTCAGATATTGGAGTCATAGCACCTTACTGGTCACAAATATCGTTAATCAGGTCAAATATTGGTAATTAGGTAAAATATCGTTTATCAGGTCAAATATTGTTAATCAGATCAAATATCGTTTATCAGGTCAAATATTGTTAATCAGGTCAAATATTGTTGATCAGGTCAAATATTGTTGATCAGGTCAAATATTGTTAATCAGGTCAAATATCGTTAATCAGGTAAAATATTGTTAATCAGGTCAAATATCATTTATCAGGTCAAATATTGTTAATCAGGTAAAATATTGTTAATCAGGTCAAATATCGTTTATCAGGTCAAATATTGTTAATCAGGTCAAATATTGTTGATCAGGTCAAATATTGTTGATCAGGTCAAATATCGTTAATCAGGTCAAATATCGTTAATCAGGTAAAATATTGTTAATCAGGTCAAATATCGTTAATCGGGTCAAATATCGTTAATCAGGTCAATAATGTTAATCAGGTAGAATATTGTTAATCAGGTCAAATATCGTTAATGTGGTCAAATATTGTTAATCAGATCAAATATCGTTAATCAGATCAAATATAGTTTATCAGGTCAAATATTGTTAATCAGGTCAAATATCATTTATCAGGTCAAATATCGTTTATCAGGTCAAATATTGTTAATCAGGTCAAATATCATTTATCAGGTCAAATATCGTTTATCAGGTTAAATATTGTTAATCAGGTCAAATATCGTTTATCAGGTCAAATATTGCTTATCGGTTCAAATATCGTTTATCAAGTTAAATATTGTTCATCAGGTCAAATATCGTTTATCAGGTCAAATATTGCTAATCAGGTCAAATATCGTTAATCAGGTCAAAAATTGTTAATTAGGTCAAATATTGATAGGGGATATTTATGGGAGTAGAGTCATCCTTGCTCAAATTGAAAAGCGCAAAATAATTTTGGAAGTAAATTTGGACTTAGCAAATAAATACTTTTTAGGGAAACCTCAAGTTATGGTGTGTAGCGTATAAACAAAATATAATTGAAAATTTGTATTTAGATGTTTAATGTATCATTTTAATCCCACTGTCGTTTTCTGCTATCCTTTTCAGAAATGTACTAAAATTTAACCATTTGGGCAGAATTATGTGTTTTAACATTTTTTTTGACTAGAGAGAAACCTGAGGCCCAATTTAAAGAATTTGAGCCGCGGCTTAAATTTTAATACTAAAGTTGTGACCAATTAGAAACTAGTCCAGAGCACGAGTTTGACTCATCGTGGACCGTTCATTTCCTGCTCAAATCTACAGGGTGTCCCAATAAACATGAGAATTTATAGACAACTTTTACATTTTCTTATATTTGAACAACATTATTTCGTGAATACTGATATTGCAGTAATTCAATTCAAAAAAGAAATATAGAATGCTTCTAGTCTTGGATATTTACAATGTGGTTTGTAATTATTATACCTTCAAGGTTGTTTGGAATTAACTTTTGTTCAGGGATCAACAGTTGGTTGTTGAATGAAAACCTGACATTTCCGTCAACTTTCTAAATACAAATAAAATTGACCAGCTAATGTGGAAACCTACAACCTTTTTTATTAACCGTCGGATCCCTTGGATATTTTTTATCTATTGGCTAATTAACGACGATTTTAATAGTCTTATAATTCTCAAGTTTATCGTCATTGATAAAGAAATTCAATTTTTATTAATTATTATATTTGTCAGGAGACTGCAGTACACTAAGATCTGACCCTGGGCTGAAAAGTCTATTAGAATACTGTGATCAGCTAGATAATGGAAGAATGGGAGTAGAGGAGTTCTATTCTCTTCTAGATAATTCATCTCCTGCATTACACTGAGTAGTCTGCTAGAATACTGTGATCAGCTAGATAATGGAAGAATGGGAGTAGAGGAGTTCTATTCTCTTCTTGATAATTCATCTCCTGCATTACACTGAGTAGTCTGCTAGAATACTGTGATCAGCTAGATAATGGAAGAATGGGAGTAGAGGAGTTCTATTCCCTTCTAGATAATTCATCTCCTGCATTACACTGAGTAGTCTGCTAGAATATTGTGATCAGCTAGATAATGGAAGGATGGGAGTAGAGGAGTTCTATTCTCTTCTAGATAATTCATCTCCTGCATTACACTGAGTAGTCTGCTAGAGTACTGTGATAATCTAGATTGTGGAAGGATGGGAGTAGAGGAGTTCTATTCTTTTCTTGATAATTCATCTCCTGCATTACACTGAGTAGTCTGCTAGAGTACTGTGATAATCTAGATGGTGGAAGGATGGGAGTAGAGGAGTTCTATTCTCTTCTAGATAATTCATCTCCTACATTACACTGAGTAGTCTGCTAGACTACTGTGATAATCTAGATGGTGGAAGGATGGGAGTAGAGGAGTTCTATTCTCTTCTAGATAATTCATCTCCTGCATTACATTGAGTAGTCTGCTAGAGTACTGTGATAATCTAGATGGTGGAAGGATGGGAGTAGAGGAGTTTAAAATTCGATGAAGGTGATGGACCAAACCTCTATAGAGTAGAAGAGTTCTATTCTCTTCTAGATAATTCATCTTCTGCATTACACTGAGATCTGATGATTGATTGATTGAAATGCTAGATGGTAGAAGGATGATAGTAGAAGAGTTCTATTTTCTTCTTGATAATTTAGCTCCTGCATTACGTAAATATCTATTCTTGGACTGAATAATAATCTGCTAGAATACTGTGATCAGCTGGATGGTAGAAGGACGAGATTAGAAGAGATCTATTCTGTTCTTGATGATTTGTTTTGATTTGATTTTTCCAATGTATTTCTAATTAAAATTTTAGCTTGGTTGTCTGTGTTTTCCAGACACCTCAGGCCTGATTGGCTGAGACTCACAAGTCTTCCTACACTTTAACAACTAATATATTAGGTTTTTCGGATTTATAAAATTGAACAAAAATCTGATGATTGTATGTTGTTAATTGACACACACCCCGAGAACCTTTTCATAATAACATCATTTACATCAGGAAAATTATAAGACGATTTTTAAGTTCTACCATTAATGCTAACCATAGGCGATTTGCGACAAGTCATATATAAGATATAAATTTTGCTTGTTTGTCTGTTTGTTTAAAATGTTTGTATCCAATCAAATAAAAAAATCTTAGGCACGCTCAATGACCACATAAATTGTCTTGAAATGACTTTACTAGTTATCAAATGTAATATGGGTTTACGATTTTCCGTAATTACAATCAATTAAACTTCAAAAGTTTGGATTTTTTAAATATTAGAAATTAATCTACGGTAACAGAAACATCCGTGAAAATTTGAGTTTTTCAATTATGTAGGAAAACACGTGGCTTTAAAGGCTTCATTTAAAATTGTTGTTACTAGAGTAGATGGGAAAGCGTCCTGGAAGCATGTCGAGTGATTAGTGACCTGCAATTCTAAACAATTTCTGCCATAGCATTTATTTTTTATAGATACCCTTGTTAGGTTTATTTCTCGAGGTAATAATTGGTCAAGTAACAACAAACGTATTTTTTTACATTTTGATTTATCTGAAAAACCTGATATTTGAGTAGTGTTCCCTAATTAACAAGAAATGTACTATTTGTGCCTTTAAATAAATTTTTAATTTTTTAAAGAAATATTTTCAGATATACAATACACAACGCAAAATATTTTCAGATATACAATACACAACGCAAAATATTTTCAGATATACAATACACAACGCAAAATGACCAGTTTTTCCTCTGGATGATGCTAAAAACTTAAAAACATTAATAAATATGGAGGAATAAAGAATAAAATATGATTTTTGAATTTTAAAAGAAAATGGAGGAACTAATTGTTACTGGTGAAGAAACGGTTGCAACAACCCAGGTGCCTCTAAACAACCTGGAGAACCTGGAGAATCTGGACCTGTTTACTGTAGAGTCCGATATTGTTCATTACTCACAGGAGATATTAGTACAGGTACACCACAGGGTTAGATATTTTGTTGAAAACTTGCTCCTCTCCCTTGAATTTTTAAAAATAAATGCATTTCCTGGTAATACGTATTAAAAATTAAAAAGGGGATGGGAGTGGAGGGGTGGAATTATTCTCCCAGCAGGGCGAGTAAATAGATATTTCTGATAAAACACCTTTGAAAAAAATTAAATTCAAGGATAAAATGTAAAGAATTGATTATCAAAGCAAATATTTTGTTGGAGCAATTGATTCATTAATGAATTAATTGATTGATATTGATTATTTGTTCGATTGATAAATTAATTGTTTGGTTGGTTGAATAAATGTTCGGTTGGTTGATTTATTGTTCATTTTCCTACGTATTTGTGTGATTGGTTGATTGCATGTTTAATTGAGTGATCAATTGTTCGATTGGTTAATTGGTTGGGACGATCAAGAAGAAAGAATGAAAAACAAGAAATAAAGAAGACTCAAAATGTTTCCATCTGATATCATATTGAAATTTAAAAATATTGTAAAATTTAATTAAAACAAATTATTAAAGTTAAAAAATTACGTGTGTTGGTTTCATTTGTTGATTGATTGTTAAATTGATTAATTAATTGTTCGAATTGGTTAATTAGATGTTGTTTGGATTGGTTTATTGATTAATAGATTGGTTAATTACATTTCTGGTTCATTGGTTGATTATATGTTAGATTGGTTAATGGCATGTTTGGTTAGATTGGTTGATTAAATGTTAGATTGGTTATATGCATGTTTGGTTGGATTGTTGATTTTTTGTTAGATAGGTCAATTATTTGTTTGATTAAATAAATAATTATTACATGTTGTTTGGATTTTTTTTATTGTTAGATTGGTCAATTATTTATTTGATTAATTAAAAAGAGTTATATTGGTTAATTACATAATTACATGTTGGTTCGATTGCTCGATTGATTGATTGATTAAATACTGATTCGATGGGCTGATCAGAGTATTTCTTAGATAATAAAACTTGAACGATCAATTAATTGATTGTTTTGATTGATTACTTTCTTTGTAGGATAGTGACTCCCTAGGGTATGCAGACTTTTCATCAGAGCAGGCGAGTTCTTGAACAATCTACTAATTGGAGTTTTTAGATAAACCTACAGTCGTCGTCGTATATATCAATACAGTAAAGACGACTTTCTGTTTCAATTTTGATTTTTTACCAAGCTTTGAAACACCAGATTCACATAAGCATATAAACAAGTACAAATTGCCAATCAACAGCTTCTCTTTGTAATTTGATAAATGCTTGTCTATAGGAATCAAAACGTGACTTGTAAAAAATCGTCTTCATTATATTGATATAATTGTCGGCCAATGTCGTTTTTTTGATAAATAATCTGGACAAATTCCTTAATATCTCCGTTAATTTTGAACGTGCAAAAATAGCAGACCACATTTTGGAAATTTCGAGGCTATTATTTTTCGGTATTAAATGTATATTCGGGATATTACTTAAATTGTGTTTACAAATTAATGTCGCGTGGAACAAAGACGATATTTAAGTCTTTTATCTTCTTTATGACATTCGAATGTTCACTTTATATTGGTAAACGCTATACGGCATAATAATAAGGGGCCAACCTTTCTAAAAACAAAGTCACAAATAAATATAACTTAGATTTAGACGTCCATATTGGACACCCTGAGAGTCTGATTTGATCTGATTGCCCAAAATGGGTTTTAATGGATTTAAAACTTTTAGGTGGCTACAAAAATGTCTACTATTCCTTACATTTTAAAAATTATGAAGTTTCTTCAAGTATGCTTGTATTACAATAGGCAAATTTTTACTCTTACCGCATGGTTAGGCATTAATTCCGACGACTTGACAATCCATCCAAGCCTATATTTTTTGTCAGATAATTAGACGATATCTTTTGAATTCACGAAAAAAAAACATATTTTCCGTTGCATTTGTAGTTAGCACGGACAATTAAGCTCAAATCTAATAATTTTTCTCTTTTTAGGATGTTACATCAGAGGGCTGCGGTAAATATTGTTTTTACAAACATTTAAATCTTTATTCTAGTATAAATTGAATAAAAAACTATTTCTTGGAAATATCATCCTGATTTATGACTTTAAATCCCATAGAGATTTTGGAATTGAATGAGTGGAAGCATTTAAAGGGACTATTAGTGTGATTTCAAGCAACCTTCCATTTTATAGAGGGACATTCTCGATTTTCAACGGTACCCTTCCAACTTTTGACTGCTGAAAGAGGTGTCGTATCGTTTGCACTAATGATTGATCGGACTAACGCATATTCGCACTAACGTTCATTCGGACTCACGTTTTATTTGAGTGTTAGGTTAGGTTAAGACAATTTCTGGGACGATCGCTGCGGCTAGGACAGGCTAGGGGGCCGAGCGCCGGGACTAGAACAGACTAGGGGGCCGGTCGCTGCGGCCACAAGTGTTACTGGTCAGCTGACTTTATGCAAAAGTGCGTTAGTTCAATCGGACATCAGTGCAAAAGATATAGCATCCTGAAAGATGTAGAACTTTTTCTATATAATCTACAAAAACGCTTGTAATTGTTTAACACTTTGTTTGCAAGCTGTTGATTGTTAATATTAATAAAGAAATATTAATATTTACTTTCTAAAAATCACAAAAAATAAATATTTAGTTTCGAATTTTTAAAAAAAGCTTCGGCCGTAAAATAGTAGGTTTGTTTCCCGAGGTACAAGTAACGTCAGCTGAGTTGAGTTCACACTATTTATCCGAACGATGTTTTGGAGAAATAAACAGGGAGATCTTTGACTTTGATAAACAGTCTAAGTTTTAAAGGGTATCTTTGTAAATCGTACATTGCCATCGTTGCAATGAGATTCCTGACGCCTTACAGTCCCTTTAAATGCATCAAAAACTTTTTTTAAATGGATAAACCGCATTTTCTGACATTTAATTAGTTTTCACTGTTTTTTTTTTAATACTTGTTGATTCCTAATCTAATTTCACTTTTCATAATTTATTTTTTTAGATCCTGAGCGTGTTAGAAAAGTTTCTTCATTTCCAGGTACTTAATTTTTTTCTTTTCTTAAAATGATTTAAAGCAGTCGAACTAAAGGACCTAAAGTGAAAAACTTATATTTTTTCTAAATAATTGACCGTTTCCTGATAATTAATTAATTGACATTTTAGAAAATTCATTAAAGCACCTTTTACATTTTGATAATTTGGCCTATGGTTTTGAAGACACCCCCCCCCCCCCCCATTCTTTGATTTAGACGGTTACACTTGGTGATTTTGGTTGATTTGATTAAGAAAAAGTTAAACCTAATTAATCAGAAAAGTTCCGTGGACGGCCTCCTAATTTCGAGGCTTCAGAGGTCGATGCCCAGGTAAAAAGAAATTCTTGTCTACAGACAGGGAGATCCAAAAAACTGTGGAACACGAAGACGACGTTAAAGTAATTTTATTTGATATTGTAATAAAGTAATTAGTTTTAATAGTAACTAAAAAATCACTTTGCATGTGCAACTGTTCTGTGTGTGTACACTACACAATTTCTGTGTTGTATCTTTATGGAACTGTTTATAGGATCATACAGTGATAATCAGAAAACTGTAGAATAGGAAGATGACATTAATGCAATGCTGAAGTGCATTGGATGTTGTTTAAAGCAAATAGCATTACTTGAAAGCAGTGCTTAGGATCCGGATCCGTTGGATCCGCAAGATTTTGGCTTCCTGGATCTTGATCCGCAAAAATATGGGGTAACGGATCCGGACCCAAGGGGTAAAATATCAACCAAAAACTGCAAAAAAAACTTTTTTACTCCTAAAACCCAACTCTGAACTTTTGAAAAAAGAGATTATAAAAACTTCCTCATTTCTGAATGATTCATCAAGTTTTAGGATAAAAATAAGCGATAAAAACAAAACAAAAAATTTGAAATATTAACAAATGACCTGGATCTGGATCCGGATCCATTTTTTCCAGTGCGGATCCAGGATCTGGATCCGGATCCGGATCCGCATAAAAATTAAATGGATCCTAAGCACTGTTTGAAAGTTATTGAATTACGTATGAAGTAAAATGCGTCTGTTTACATTGTACAATTGCTGTTTCTCATGTTCAATGCGCTATTAAAAGTCATAACTTGAGTTTAAAAGTCGACTTCCTATTCCAGAGTTTTCTGGTTCTCTCTTTAACATTAGTCTAAAGTTGTCGTCTTCTTATTCCACAGTTTTATGGGTCTCACGACTTACTGTAGTTCTTAAATGTCGTCGTTTTTAAAAAGATTTTTTTAATTAAATAGGCATTGTCGATTTTGGTAATTTTTCCTAGCACTGATAGGAATGGAGGAAAACAATCTTTTTGTTTTTATTGTTATTTTTTTCTTATGTATGGTTTTGCTTCTTTTACCAATAAAAGTATTTGGATTGAAATGAAATTTCAGATTGAGTAAGGGGAAAAAAATATTATAAATATCTTATCAAAAGTTATTTGTTTGAACAGGGCCAAACATGGTACAATTGTTCTGTCTGTGAAACTAAATGTACGGGAAGAAGTGAATTACTGCAACACATGAGAACTCACGATAAGGTAACAGCTTGAAAATCAAATTATTACAGGGGTGTATATTTTCCTGAAATATTTCCCCTGCAGACGTTAAAAAAGTAAATAAATGATTTTTGTGGGGGAAAAAATAAATTTTTAGGTAAAAAGTTTCTAAAAGAATGACAAAAACTCGTCTTCTGACGTCCAATATTTTCCTATATTCGCCAGAGAATCAAAAATAATTTTCCTCCGGTTAATACTTGAAAATATATTGTATATAAATATGATGTGTACACTGTACACTGCACAACTCTTGTGTTTATTGAATTATTGAAATCATAATTCATCAGTCTAATGTAGTATTTAATGTGTACACTGCACAACTCTTGTGTTTCAAGCTTATTGAACTATTTAAATCATAATTCTCCAGTCTAATGTTGTCGCCTCCCTTTTCCACATTTTTATATGTCCCACTGTATTATGATTCTTATTTTCTAGGAATACAAAAATGTTATATATTTCAAAATAGGTTTATTCAGAAATACGCAAAATGATGATTATTTAACGAAATTTTTGTAATTATTTTTGTTCTTGTGACACCAAGTTTTAATTTCCATTGTTGCTTCAGGAGCGTCCGTTCTACTGCAAGGTTTGTGGATCCAATTTCAAGCAAGTTGTCCATCTCAGAGCTCACATGAGAATGCATACTGGAGAGAAACCGTTTAAGTAAGATTTGTTTATTTTAAAATAACTTTATGCGGTATTTGAAATGGAATATGGGCAGGTTTTTTATGTAATATTGCATATTATNATATATTAATATTTGTCTGGCCTTGGAGAAGCCAAAAGCTTTACTGTGCGTGTTCAATTTAGGGGGGCAACTGGAGATAGCTTAAACGGTAATTTACATAAAAAAAAAATATGAAATTCTCAGATTCTATAATGCCTTGCCCACACTGCTGAAAATGGACCATCAGGTTTCAAGTCAAAACACCTGAACTTTTTCTTTGGATTATGTTTATATGCAGTCTACTGATATATATTCTCAATTTTCAGAAAATGTCACCTAGGGAATTTTGAGCAAATTAATTTTTAAGAAATTTTAGAAATCAAGTGCATTCACAGGTCTTAAATTAAACAAAAATTTCATTTTAAAACTTTAATCTGCTTCTTCTGGGTTTTTGACAATATTTTTTAACAGTATATGACATGGTCTCCAAATTTTTTTATTTTTCTTCAACAGTCATGAAACTTATTGTAGCAAAAAATCAAACACCTAAGTCAACTGCCTGACTGTCAAAATGCGGCCCGAAAAAGTTTTTTGATGTAATTTTTACTGATTTTACTTCAAAAAGTCTTTTTTAGGCACAAATTTCGCAATTATACAGTTCACTTAAGGCTTTGATTTTTTTGTAAAACATTTCTTTTGACTGTTAAGGAAAATTCACAAAATTTGGGGACTCTGCCATCAACGGTTCTAAAAATATCGCAAAAAACACAGAATAATCTTAATTAATCTTTGAACCTACAGTTACGATTGAGTTTAGACTTAAAAATGCACTTGATTTCAACAATTTTTTTTAAATGGATTCACTAAAAATTTAGATTATAACTCAGAAGCCTGCATAGTAATATATTCCGAAAAAAATTAGGTGTTTTCACTTGAATCCTGATGGTTCATTTACAGCAGTGGGTGCCTTGATTAAAGATAGTTAATATATAAAAAATATGTCTTCTTGCCTTAGATGCAGTGTGTGTGCAAAATTTTTCCGCCAAAAAGTGATTTTAGACCAACACATGAGAATTCATACTAAGGTACATACCATACAAGGGAGATGCATAGCATATAGCACATCAGATAAATGACATGTCACATGGGAGATGCATAGCATATAGCACATCAGANTTTTCCTCCTTTTACTTCCCGTTTTCTTTTCCCTTTTCCTTCCCCTTTTCCTTCATTTTCCCTTCCCTTCCCTCTTTCCTTCCCTTCCCTCTTGGGTATTCACCCCTGTGAATAAATAAACGAAAGGATGAAAGAAAAAGACGGGTGACATGACAAATGTATGATAAGTGACCGAAGCATAAACTTGTATTTGATGGTTAACTCAACCAAACAACTATATACTTGAAAGTCTCCGTTTTGCAAATATTAGCATAGTTGCAGAATTATTGCTAAAGTTTTGATGATTTAGAGCAAACCATACAAATGTACCGAGACTGGATGTATCAAAGAATTTACACAAAAATCCTCGTTAAAGAACCACATAAAGTCCCACAGGTAGTTTAGTATTTAAAGATATTTAGATTTTCAATTTGATATTATTATATAAAATCCTTTTAATTTTCAATTGTAATGCTAACTTTTAATTTAGGAATCTAATTTATTTTTCCAAAAACTTAGAAACTTATTTAATCTCTAAAAAATTCAAATGTTTCTAAACTTCATACATGTTACATTTAACTATTTAACCACAGGATTTGCCAAATCAATAGAAAAAAGTATTTTTCTCATTTTCTTTCATTTCTTTTTAATTCTTTATTTGCATTTTCATATATTTTTATCCTTTCTGGAAATTATAAAAAAAATCTTCTCTCTTAATTTGTACTTTGCACAATTTTTCCTTTTTTAATAATGTCACCGTATTGTTTTATAGATTATTTACAGGGTTACCCACATAGGTTGAGGCTTTAATGACGACCTAAACCGTTTATTTCTGACAATCGGAAAGGTTTTAAGTTGATAAAGGACCAAACTAGAATTATAGCAGTTTCCTGGGGAAAGGCAATATGTTGGTACGTTTTTGATTAGTTTTTGATTATTTTAAAAGGATCCGTAATAATCAAAGAAGTTTTACAATTTTCAAAATTTTTAATTTTAAACATTTGCGTTTCTTTCCGGTCTGACAGGAAATAAATGCAAAAAACGAACTAAAAACGAGCGTCTTAAAACGTTCGTTTATACATATCATAGAATAAAAATATTGCAAAGTTTGAAAGTTTTTTTGTAAACAAACTAAGACGATTAACAACCCTAAGTGGGGGGTATTTCACTTTTGGTCCCTCAGAGTTTTTTGCACAATTCGAAAGGTTTTAAGTTTAAAGGACCAAACTAGAATTATAGCAGTTTCCTGGGGGCGATCTACAAAAATCAGAGAAGTTTTACAATTTTCAAAATTGTTAACTTGAAACATTTGCGTTTCTTACCGGTCTGAGAGAAAATAAATGCAAAAAACGAACCAAAAACGAGTGTGTTAAAACGATCGTTTTTGGTTCGTTTATACTTATCATAACAGAATTGAAATGTTGTAAGTTTTATAAAATGTTTTTTGTAAACAAACTAAGGCGATTAACAACTCTAACTGGGGGGATTTCACTTTTGGTCCCTTAGAGTCACATTTGATTTGATTTGATTTGATTGGATTTGATTGGATTTGACTTGATTTGATTTGATTTGTTTTGTTTGGATTTGATTTGACTTGATTTTGAAATGAATCAAAAATGATAGCAAAATGGTTAATCAATTCTGCTGTAGAAAAGCATGAATGCAAGAAAAAATATGTCTGAAATCTATCTTTGTGGATAATCTTCTAAAACGGTATTGCTCTACAGTCTACAGTCTAAATTATGTACAATGTAATGTACATGATGTACAGTAAAGTGTTTATTAAGGACTGGTAAACTAAGTGAACAGTACAATAAGAAGGAGGTGTACACCAGAAAAGAAGTTTACACAAGAAAAGAACCAGTTCAACCTATCCTACAATCTGCAGTACACTCATTTGTACAACCCCTTGTACAACCCCTTGTACAACCTCCTGTTTTCAAGGTAATTATCTTTATTTTAAATTAACTGTCGAGTGTTGATGTAATTGCAAGTGATTCTCAATTTTCAAAACTTAATTTACATTGCAAAGTTTTGAACAATTGTTTTTTTTGGGAGCCTTGCTGACTTTTGTTTGAGAAAAGGATGGATAAACACTATTCAGGATTACTCCACAAAGGATGAGACTGTAAAGCCGACTTAAACCTCATAAATTAAGTCTTCTGTCTTGAATTAAGTCTTAAAAGGGGTTATTTAATAATTTTGCAAAGAAAAAGCACGTTTACATATGCATAAAAGGAAATAGATAGTAAACATTCGGTACAGTTGTTTCTTAAGTCTCATCCTTTCTGGGTTACCCTGTATCTTAAAATATTTCATCTGTAAATGCATAATACTAATTGAAATACAATGGGGAAAAAATAGAAGTACAAACGACGATATTTTTTGTTAATTAGATAAAGGGTACTACATACATATATTATTTAAAATGGGAGGTCACAAAAAATTATGTTGAACTGAATTTAATTGATTGGAGATAGGTTTCGCTACTTCTCTAGTGCTGTCAGGATCAAATTCTGAACCACCGATTCAAAAAATATATACATGGTTGAACCCCTGCTTTACGTAGTTCAACGACTTCTCGCAATTCATTAAATTTGGTCCCTGTTTCTTCAATAACCACATTAAAAAAAAGAAAAGATAATTTCAATATTTTTAAGATTTAATAAATTATCAACTATTTTATTTAGATATCCGATGGAAGATCTAAATCTGTTACGAAGATTCTAGATAACAGAAAACTGACGCAGGAAATTATTCAATTTATAATAGTAATAATAATAATAATGATAATAACAATTTAACCTACGGCATCTGATAATTACTCATGACCACCTTGTCTGATTAGCCTCAAATTTGTATTGTGCAACGAGTTAGAACCACAGGAAGTTCCTTAGTTTGGTTCAACAATTTTAAGCTTTTAAGTTAACTCAAATGGAGAAAAATCTTTTTTTCCAGGAAAAGCTGGTTTCCAAGCTAGCTTTTATATATTTTGTTGTGAAAAATAAGTGCAAAACAAATTTTATAGTTTTAATACCAGACATTTTTTCTTTGGAAATCCTTTTTTTTATTTTTTATAACTGTAATTTGTCCTGATTGTCAAAAAAATCATACAAAAGAGAATAACTCGGAGTTCGGCTTTTTTTTCAAATAAAAATCATGGCCTAGCAACCTTTGTTAACTTAAATTTCACACTTGTTTCTAGCTTGGAAACCCAGCTTTTCTGGGAACCTAAGTTAACCCAGTGAAAGTCAGCTTAGATCCTTTAAACTTTTTTTGATAGAACTACTGATGATAATTTTGAGAAGAAAGTAACATTATTAAAGGGGTGGGATTTTTGTAAAGGATCTGAAAAAGATTTTTTTTATTTTAAAAAATTAATAAAATCGTCTGAGACAAATTTTTCATATTTTTCAAATTTTTCAATTTTTATTCCAGATTTTCTAAAGATTAAATTGTATAAGGGAGGTGAATGTCCCAAGCAGTTTAAAACAACTGTTGTTAGAATGACTCAATCTCAGTTTCAAGTAAGCATCAGAATAAAACCTCCAAATAAAATTTTATTGTGCACTTTATCATTCATGTGTAGGTTATGCGCAATTTCTCTATAGTAGTACTATACATTAATCATCGTGCTGTTATGTTAAGTTATCTGTATATTATTGCACGGTGCTATGACATTTATTTCGTTCCTGGATTTTCTCTTACATTTAGGATATTTATGGAGTTCATTTTTTAATTAAAATGAAAACACAATCAAAAATTACCTTTTTATCAATACTTTTTCGAAAAGCACGTTATATCTAGAACTAACTGAATTTTGAGACAAGGTGTTATAAAGGTTTTGGTCTTTGAGTCATTGCCATTAACTCTGATTTTTTTATTCCCTTTATCTTTACAACCCAATGTTGCAGACCTTAGATATTTCAAGCTATGAATTCTGATTGATCAACTAATCAAAGTTTGAAATATCAAAGGTTTACGCCATCTAGTTTTATAGATTTAGGTATTATGAAAATTGGGATTTGTGGCAAAGACTCAATTTCTTTTCTCTTTATTTCTAAGGTATTAAACAGTAAACAAAATTGTTAATAATTAGATTGAATAAGTCTGATATTGTTCGTTCGCGAATATTCACAAATGTTTTTGTTTTTTTAGATATTTATATGATGAAAAATATTATGCGATTTTGCATACCCAAGCCTATTGTCATTTAATCATTTAAAAACAATACAAAACACCCTGTTAGAGACCAATGAGATATAAAATGAGATATGCAATGAGATATACAATGAGATATGCAATGAGATATACAATAAGATATACAATGAGATATACAATGAGATATACAATGAGATATACACAACCATGAAAGTTATCATTCAAATTTTTAGACAGCCTCCTAGGCATATGCATTCCAATACTGCAATGGTGTAATTGGCAAAATACCGCAGGATTATATACATTTTAAAAAAGCGTTTGTTTCTGGCTTAAGTTTAAAAGGATTACTTGAAGCAATACTGGTCGAGTTTAGTGTGCACATCTTGGTTCGCAGTGAGACTTAAGGGACTGTAAACGTAATTTCAAGTGACACTTGTGGTTCCCTTTAATGTTTTGTCTGATCACCTAAGAATTATACATCCTTGTTTTTTTTGTTTTTGAAAATTGTTTTTTTTCGTTTGTAGTATTTCTACTAAAGTGACTTTTCTTTATTATCAGAGTTATAAAGAACTAGGACGTTATCTTGCACATTATTGATCAGATTACGGTTTAGACGGTACTGTCTTTCAGTGGAGGGTTACTTGAAATTATTATAACAGTCCCTTTAATAAGGTCGCTTTATTTTCATGAATTTAGGAGTACCTGAAAAAGAAGTACCCTAAGAGTTCAGAAAGCGGTGCACTGAAATCTCAAGTCCAGCCAGACGAGCCTTTGAAATTATACACTTCAACGCCAGACCCAAGAATATCAGAAATATCTGAGATAGTCGTCAAGGATTCTCAAAGAGCTCCAGAAGGACAGTTAAGTCATGTTGAAGGAAAACATTTAGCACTAACAAACAAGATACCCATCACCCATCAAGGAAATTCCCTCCCCAAGAAGCAACTGCAGGACTCTGCTTGGAGAAGATCAAAGCAGATCAGCAGTCCGTTTCTGACCTATGTTAACTTGTGTAAACCTCTGCTGCAGGCTGAACAACCTGATCTTAACCTTATTCAGCAGATTGAGGAATTAGCGGCTAGGTCAGTTACTTTCTTCTCAAGTTTTTTATTTATTTTTCAAGAGACAAGTATTGTTCATTATAATCTGACAAACGCGGTTTTTTGTTGTTAGTAATTATGTGGATCTTACAACTTCTTTGCTTTTTAACCTAAATATTATATTTAATTGTTTTGAAAAATGTATATGTGAGTTTGAGATTAAATACAGAAAGATTATTAAAAGGTGATATTAGGGTCTTTTACATCCAAGCTTGATTTTATTTGATTTTGTCCTTTTTACAGGATTGAATCCTAGGTACTTTTACGTTAAGTAAAAGGTTTTTTAAAAAATGATTTTAAGACATAGCTTTTACTAACCCGACAATCTTTTTGATCAACCCAAAATAGTTTCTAGTACAATAGAAGACAACGTAGAATTTATACGTTCTCAGTAGAGCTGTATTATTACGTCACAAGTGTCAACTTAGTTTTTGTGTCCGATAAAATTATTACTAATAGTGATAATTTTAGAATAAAGGGCTTATTTCATAATAAGTGCAATTTAATATGTTTTTTATTTTCTGTTTTTACACTTTTTTATTTAATCTTGGAAAAAATGAAAACTAATGTGAGAAAATTTTGTTTTCCTTGTTATATTTGACACTTGTGACGTCGCTTATAATTGGTCCATTTCTCTGTTGCCATGTACTAAAATCTATTTAATCCACCCTGTTATGTTCAATTCTAAATATCTACATTTGCCCATTTTATTTTATGATTACAATTCTCCATTTAAATTACAGTATAATTTCAAGTTATTCTCCATATAAAGATCGCAAATCCGAATTCATAACGGTATCATTAAAAGCCAAGTCTGATCAAGTAAGAATAATATATCAATATTTACAATGTTGTAAGCTGATTATTTCTATTTTAAAAATGTTACTTGCGCATTTCTACTGCTGGAAAATATATAGGATTTATCAGAATTAAAATGTTTAAAACTTGAAAAACGACTATATCTTTCACATGGTAGATAAGATAAAGGTATCAAGGTTTGTGAATCGGGCAATTTTAACTTTGCACAAAGGGTCACTTGAAATTACGCTAACCGTCCCTTTAATGACTTTTTTATGTTTACAAGGGTTGTTTTATGTTTATTTACTTTGTTATCTTGTATCGTTCAGGTGGAATAGATTAAGCAGTGAAGAAAAGTCCAGCTTTGAAGAAATACAAAAACAATCTGAAACGAAAACTTGGTATGAGGTGAGCCATTGGATTTAATGGAAAACATTAAAGAAAGAGTACTTACAATGTTACAGATATAGTAAAAGATAATTTCACAATAAAGTTATTCGAATGTGTTGTATCAACTAGTTAGTTTTAATTAGATTATCAAGTAGATTTTATTATATTAACGAGTAGTTTTATTATATTATCGAGTAGTTTTTATTATATTATCGAGTAGTTTTTATTATATTATCGAGTAGTTTTTATTATATTATCGAGTAGTTTTATTATATTGTCGAGTAATTTTTATTATATTATCGAGTAATTTTTATTATATTATCGAGTAGTTTTATTATATTATCGAGAAGTTTTTATTAGATTATCGAGTAGTTTTTATTAGATTATCTAGTAGATTTTATTAGATTATCTAGTAGATTTTATTATATTATAGAGTTGTTTTCATCACATTTTTATTTGTTTTGCTTTACACTCTGATAGTGAATACATAGTTTAAATGATTCAACTGTTTTTTAGAATTCAACTGCTTCATCCGTTCATAGTCTTTCCACAGCTCTTACCTCTTCAGAAGCTTTTACAGCTCCATCAGTTCTAGCAGCTCCATCAGTTGTGACAGCTCCCCTAGAATCATCTCATTTCTTCAGTTCTAAACCTCAACCAAAAAATCGGAATGCACAGATATGTTTACCGGTATTACGGAGTTTTCAAACTTTATACTGACTATACAGATTTGTTTATCGGTAATATGGAGTTTTCAAACTTTATACTGACTGTACAGATATGTTTACCGGTAATATAGATATTTTAAACATTATACTGACTATACAGATATGTTTACCGGTAATAGGGAGTTTTCAAACTTTATACTGACTGTACAGATATGTTTACCGGTAATACGGAGTTTTCAAACTATAATGACTATACAGATATGTTTACCGGTAAAATAGAGTTTTCAAACTTTAAACTGACTATACAGATATGTTTACCGGTAATACGGAGTTTTCAAACTTTATACTGACTATACAGAGCTGAAAACTTTAGAATGGATAAACTTTAATCCTGACTTCTTAATCCGAATAACCACTGTGGAAACTTTTCATTTTAGTCCTTAATCCACTCTTTTTCTCTCTCCTTGGATATCCGTTAATTGTTTTCTCCAATGAGAATATTTCTGTTCTCTCATTGTACTATAGATGTATTTTAAAGTTATTCTCGAAATATGTGGTAAATCCGATTCACAATGCTGGTAACATTAAAACCTTTGTCTGATCATGCGAAAACCATTTTTATCTCTTTTAAAATTGAACATTTTTAATTTCGGGTTTTCTACAAAGTGACTAGCGCCTTTCTGCTTCCAAAACATTGGAAAAAATTATTTGATTTGATTTGACCATGAAAGCCATGTCTGATCAAAAATGCATTTTAGATTTGCTTCATCTTTTTAGAAATCTTTTTTTTTCAATTTTGGTTTCTCTATTAGTGACTTGCATCTTACTGCAGAAACAGTAAAAGAAAATGTTGCCATCTTTCCCTTTAAAATGGTGTTCTATAAGTTTAAGGTTTGTGGAAGGACGTTATGGTAAACTAACGAGGCTTCATATAAACTTGGATTTGAGTTGGAATAGGAATAGCTGTCATTTAAAGGCGGAGTTGGAACACATTTTAAAATTTATTTCGAACCAACCGGTTTAAAGCAGTGCTAAAGATCCATTTTATTTCGATGCGCATCCGCACATTTAAAGATATTATTTTTTAACTATATTAATTCTTAATTTTGGTACCAATTCAGATGAACTGAATTAACTATTAAGAGATAAAAAAATTTAACAAGCTCTCATTTTTCAGTATTTGATAATTGTGTTCAGATTTGGGAGAGCAAATAGGTTTTGGTTGATATTTTGCCTCTTGGATCCGGATCCAGGAGTCCCAAAGTGTAGCGGTTCTAACAGATCTAGATCCCGGGGTCCTAAGTGTTGCGGATCTAACGGATGTAGATCCCGGGGTCCAAAGTGTATCGGATCCAAAGGATCCGGATCTTCAGCACTGCTTTAATGAATGAATATTTTCAAAAAAAGTTTTGGCCTTTGTAAAAAATTGGACTTAAACTTGAAAGATTTATCCTTTTTTTAACTTGAACAAAATTTTATTTATTTTCCTTAAGTTTATAGCGGAAAATTGAAAATACATTTTTTCACATATTTTAAAAAAGAAAATAATATTTTCAAAGAATTCGGGAGAATTGATTTTCATAAACAGAGTGACTCTACAATGATGAGACTTTAGAGGAGACGGAATTTATACTTTCTGAGTACATTCATTTTGTATTATTTTTGTTTTAGATAGATACTCTGTTCCAGTTACCAGCCACCAGTAATAAGGTAGCATTTAACACTTTTACTTTTTAGATTGTTTGCTCATTTCGTATATGGTTAATTTCTAAAATTATACTAATTTTTCTAATTTCCGATTATTTGTTGAAATCGACTCGTATTCTACAGCATAAATCAGGAAAACTTCCAATTAGATTAAAAATCCCTTTAAAGGAACTGTTAAAGCCAGTGTTTAGGATCCATTTAATTTTAATGCGGATCCGGATCCTGGATCCGCACTGGAAAAAATGGATCCGGATCCAGGTCCTTTCTTTAAGATTTACTGAATTTTTTTAACAGTTTAATTTTTTTCGCATATTCTTATCCTAAAACTCGATGAATTATACAGAAATGAGGAAATTTTTATAATCTCTCTTTTTTTCAAAAGTTCAGATTTTGGTTTTAGGAGTAAAAATCCGTGGATCCGCATATTATTGCGGATCCGGATCCAGGAAGCCAAAATCTTGCGGATCCGTTGGATCCGGATCCTAAGCACTGGTTAAAACGTAGTTTTTAACTGACTTTTTACACAAAGATTGCAATGCTCTATTTCCAATAGTACCCTGGAAAGCTTGTCTGATTAAGTATTAATTAGATGTTAATGTTTTTGTTTCTTTTATCTAACTGGTTTTTTTTTTACTTGCGGTTTTTCTGTGAAAGTGATTTGCTTATTTTTTTGCTTCTAGGAAGCAATTGAGAAATTATCAGAATGAATCACTTTCATATAAAAAACCAACGGTTTCTTAAACATTTTGATCAGATTAAATCGGGCATTGCCATCTTTGCATGGAGGGTCACTTGAAATTACCCTTACAGTTCCTTTAAATTCTATTTCATTCCTTGGTTTCAGGTTGTTCTCAAACAGTTTCCGCATGAGAATGGAAATGTTTATGAAATAGGTTTGGCAGTTGTTAATTCAAAATTCCCTTTTCACAATTTTCAATATTTTAAGATCTGAAATTATTCGCAGTTTTGCAGTTTAACTTAATTTTCTTGAATTTTTTAATTTTGCGTTGGGAGGAGAAAAAGAAATTTATTAAGGGGGGGTGGGGTCCATTTTGGAAATTTTTTATTAACCTCTGCCTGTGTTGTCAGCTATGGAAGGTATAGATGTGAACAGTGTACCCGGAATGCCTGGAATTCCTGGAATTCCTGGCGCTAAAAATAATATCGTTGTCATCAGTCCTGTCAGGTATATATGCATTACGCAGTACATTAACAACCGTACATACACAAACAAACAGTACCCTGTTGCATTTTTTGTTAATGAGAATTCAAAATTGGCATTTGCGGGCACTGTTAGTGGCTTGGCTGATTAGTATAAAATTATATGCAGGTAATCCTCAATCAAAAGTGACAAAATACAAAGTACATAAACAACAGTACATACACAAACAGTCAGACTTTAAGACAAAATACAAAGTACATTAACGACAGTACATACACAAACAAACAGACTTGAAACTTCAAAATTGACATTTGTGAGCACTGTTTTTGTTGCAAAAGTTGGTCTATTAACATGAAAAATTATAAATATATTTGATCCTCATCCAAAAGATCACTAGAAAAACTAGGAGAACTNACACAAACAGTCAGACTTTAAGACAAAATACAAAGTACATTAACGACAGTACATACACAAACAGTCAGACTTTAAGACAAAATACAAAGTACATTAACGACAGTACATACACAAACAGTCAGACTTTAAGACAAAATACAAAGTACACATACACAAACAAACAGACTTTAATGAAACTTCAAAATTGACATTTGTGAGCACTGTTTTTGTTGCAAAAGTTGGTCTATTAACATGAAAAATTATAAATATATTTGATCCTCATCCAAAAGATCACATCTCCAAAATGTTGACTATTTCCTCGCGTAGAACTAAGTGGGGTGACAGTCTGGTGATTTCGATATTGTAAATGGGGATTTTTGTTTTAACTAAGTAAATAATTGATTTCACGCATAATATGTACTTAAGTTCAATAAACAAAACGTTTTAACGGATTTTGCTCAATCCCATGCAGGGTTGCCCATATAGGGCAAGACTTCAGAGACGACTGTTCGGAATTTATACCGTTTCCTTATATTCACGATTCCCTGCAAATAAAACTTGTTTTTTCCTTTGCCAGTGAAAGACCACATTCAAGGCGGATGATTAAGTTTAAAATTGATATATTTGAAGAGTTTTAAGTCGTCTTTACAGTCTTTTTGGATACCATGTTGTTTGAACAATTTTGTCTAGTGATTGGGCTGAAATATTTTGTCCATATGATTTAATTAGAAGAGCTTTATTCAAGTTTATTTTTGTATATTTTAGAAAGTTTAGAACGTATCCTTCTAAACGGAACCGAAGACTCAATACTCCTCTAAAGCAGGTAAGTTTTGTGTACAGATAAAAAAATAAAAAAATATAAAGACTTAAGAATTTAGAGATAAGGGTTTTTGTTTTATTGCATATATTTTCTGTCAGGATTCAATACTGACGACATATTATAAGAAGAGGAAATGCATAGAAACAATTTATTAAAAACCTTGTGTATGTCCTAAAACCCTCTAAAGCGAACCAACACGATTAACAACCCGTTTGAGGGAAGATTTTGAAATCTATTCCTGTTTAGAATGAAGTCGCGGCATCTTTTGGTATAAATCAACTAATCACTCTTAGTCAATCAGCTAATCAACAAATCCCGGAACAAAGACGATCTCTTATTGAAAGTCAGGGACTATCATCCTGTATTGGAGTAACCACAGAAGTCATTTCTAGTGGAATAAATGAATTATCCAGCGGATTATTTAGTGGAAACGGACTATGTGAAACATCTTCTGGTGGATTAAATTCAATGTCTGATTTGTCAAGGTTACAACCTCCAGGCTCTGAACTGATAGAACTAGGAGGAGAAAAAATGGCGGGAAAAGTTGAAATATTCAAAATGGCGGGAAAAGTTGAAATATTCAAAATGGCTGACATCAGAGACAAAGAAAGTCTGGCAGATATCTCAGATGTGGATGAATCACAAGGTATTTTTCCTTTACTTACTATGCATTTCATTTTTCACCTTTAATCTTAATATTATTCTTCAGGTCCTGAAATGCAAGCTAGAGCAGATATATCTAATGACGAAAACTTGAACGAAATGGCTTCGCAGGAAATTGTCGAGTCTAACTTTGTAATGGAAGACACAGGTACGATGAGTACGATAGATAGATTTTTACAATTCACTTTTTAATCCTAGGGGAACTTACAGTATTAGAGGACGAACATGAGGTTTTAGAGGACGATCAGGGTGTCCTCAACAATACTACATTAGAGGACGAGGACATTCTTCAGTATCAAGACTCCATACAGTACACAGAGCAGGACAACATAGAGAACTTGTACTCAATATATCATTTATAGTGTACTTAATTAATTCATTTGTTTATTTTATTTATATTTGATTATTTATTTTTTGATTATTCTGACCTGTACTTTAATAAGTTGCCAAAATTTTACTTTATTTGTCATAGTTGTTTTATTGCAGTGAATAAATGCTCTATATCTGAACTTAAAAATTGTAATTAAATTTCCTAAGCAAGCCCCCCCCCACCTCAGATAATTCCCATTTTATACCAGACTTATTTTGTATTCATGGAGTTAACAAATGAGCAATCTACATATGCACGGTTTGCACAGTAAACAATAAACATTACCATATTATACAATGCATGCACTAAACAGTTACCCCTCAATTTACGTTTAACTTAAGTAAATTGCAAGTATTGCAAGTATAAGAATGAAATCTTGCATTTTTAAATCATATCTTTTTTATTAAAGAGCTATGGAGACGAACTAAAATCAAATGTAGAAACGATACGAGGTCACAAAGTTGTCGCAGTAATGTCGCTTACATTGGACCTTTTCCTTCTGCCTAGTGTGCAGTCCATTGATGCTGAAGTTCTAACAGGGAAAGTAGGGGAAAATGGACTGAATACGTTTTTTTAAAGGGAGTGATCGGGTATGTAAGGTTGTTGAACTGAGTATGCAGTGTTGTGGAAAACTTCTTTCGGATTCATTTGAGACATATAAAACTTTTTAAAGATCTCATAAAATGTAAAAAAAAATCTACAGTAAACTAATTAATTTCTATTTTCTCATTATTCTGGTTTCTCATTATTCACAAAGATTTTCGCAGATTTTCTAGAATTATTATTGAAAAAACGACATTTGAAGAATTTGAAGAAATCGGCGAATAAATTCAAAGAAGATAAGAAATTCAATATTATAATGAAAACGAAATGATCAATTTTAGCATTGATTAATTGACAAATTTCTTTTGAGTAATATGTTAGGAACATATCTAATTAGATTACTGTATAATTTTTACTTTATTTTTTTTTGTCGCTCAAACTCTGGATTTACAGATCTTTAAAAAGGGTTATATGTCTCAAATGAATCCGAAAGAAGCTTTCCACAGCACTGCATACTCAGTTTAACTACCTTACATAGCCGGTCACTCCCTTTAAAGTGATCCTTCATTTATAAAATTGCATGTTTGATTGAGAATTGTATGCTTCTGTTAACCTATCGAGGAGGAAGATATTCTTAGTTTTCTATCTGAAACTGAACGTACCGAGAAACTGGTATGTACGTGGTGCATACGAGTTCTTTTTTAATGCTGTTACGAAGTAAATACCTTTACCAGTGGCTTATCAACTTATAAGGATAAATAGGTACAGGTTGTCCCAAGAAACATGACATTTGGTATATAGTTTTTAATGTCGTCTTCCATACACTTTATTAAAGGCTGTTTGCAGTTTAATTCGTTTAAAAAATCTTTTGCTCAAATATATTTTACTTTTAAGTTAATATTGCTATAATATACCGCCTATATAAGATTTTATTGTTATCTTTGGTATTAAACAACTTAACAAATTATGGAAGAAGACATTCTGAACTATTTACCAACTGTCATGTTTCGTGGGACACCCTGTTTGTATTTCGTGTTCAAATGACTATATAAAAATGTTTGCTTTTTGTTGAGTTTCTGACAAGCTACCCTTAAATGTTTAAAAAACGGATGTGCATACGAGTTACTCGGTAATCTATTATAAGCAAGAAATAGGAAATATTTGAAGGGTATCGATATGAATAAGACAACTCCTTCTAAAAATAAATTAAGTTCTTGAAAAGGGGTTTTCAAATAATGTTGATTAAGGGTGAAAGATTTTTCACAAATTTTAAAAGAATTAATTTCAAGCATTAAATACTAATTTATTTTTTTAATTCTAGGAAACATTTACATAAGGCATTTGTCGCTCAATCAAAATTGACCATCGTAAATGGCCTTTTGTGAAAACAAAAACTCTAGAAAAAGTGTTGTCTTTTTTTCTCAAAATATGTCGATTTTAGTATCAAAAGATCCACCTTTCCAAGCCATATTTAGACAAATAAAAATTTGTTTATGATCCTTGTCTTTAATTCTTTGAAGTAACTGTTCTCCTCTTGTTTGTTTGTATTTGCATAACTTGTTCTTATTTATTTGAACTTTTTATTTTTACTTTTTTATTTGAATTTGTTTGTAATAATATAGTTTTTTAAATTATGTTTTGAATTCTGTTTTGTTGTGTTAACCTTTTCTGTGAATATTGTTATAAAGAGAGTGTTCGCGAAAAATGAGAGGGGGTATAGGCTTACGGCGAAAAATAAGCGCTTTTGATCGATACTAATCTTGCTTCTATATGTTGCGTCTATAGATTCTATAAGGAGAAAATTGTTAAAAACGGCTATAATACCGAAGAATGTAGTGTCCATACAAATTCAGAAAGAAGCAACATTCAACTCGGATCGGAAAATAATCAATTTAATTCCAAACAAATCATTCAGATATTACAAACAGTACTCATCGATTATTTTTCGACGCAATCGTATCTAGTTAATATTTCATAATACTTTTTATTTTGTTTTTCTACAATAATATTTCACTAGCGCTGGATTTTCGAACATTCCTGGAAAATATGAAAATGTCGTCTTCATTATCAAAAACCCTCGAAACAGGAATAAATGTTTTAAAAAATTATCGATGATTATTGGTTGTAATATCTGAATGATTTGTTTGGAATTAAATTGATTTTTTTATGATCCGAGTTGAATGTTGCAACTTTCTGAATTTGTATTGACGCTACGTTCTTCAGCATGAGTCGTTCTAAACAATTTTCTCCATATAGACACAACTTTCTTTAATGTTGTCGTTTTTTCTTTTATTATAGTATTTAGTTATTATTTCATTTAATCTATATATTCGTAAGCAATACAATTGCTCAATACTTTTCAAACAAAATATAATAACTTCATAATTGAATTAAAAAACAGAGTTAGTTTTTTTTTCAAAAACTAAAAACCGTAATGCTCCATCATATATATAGTTTCGGAGGGACTGGAGAATGTTTGTTAATGGCCTCTGTTCCAATGGAGGCTGACAGTGCAAGTAAGTAATTATATATGTAGTTCCAGAGGGACTGGAGAATGTTAGTTAATGGCCTATGTTCCAATGGAGGCTGACGGTGTAAGTAAGTAATTAGGGGCTGAAGAATGTTTGTTAATGGAGGCAGTAAGTAAGTAATTTTATTTGTAGTTGTACTTTGAACTATAAAAATTAATGATCCAATGGTGGTTTATGCAACAGAGACAAAAAAGAAAATGTTTAAATAGTTCACTATTCGATTTATCAGCGTTGCTTAGATATAGGCTGGAACGGTATCGTTTTACATCGAACATGTCCCTTGGAATTATGTTAACAGTCCCTTTAAAGAGCTCAGTGTTTATGCAATAGTTTAATCTTTCCCAAGATTGACAATTAAATCCTTTAATCCACAAGTTGGGGGGCGGCTTTCATTCTAATTATAAATTTAATTATTAAAGGGACTGTGAACTAGAGTTTTATATGAATTTAATTATTAAAGGGACTGTGAACTAGAGCTTTTATTAAATTTAATTATCAAAGGGACTGTGAACTAGAGTTTTTAATAAATTTAATTATTAAAGGAACTGTGGACTAGAGTTATTAATAAAATTAATTATGAAAGGGACTGTGAGCTAGAGCTTTATTAAATTAATTATTAAAGGGACTGCGGACTAGAGTTTTTATTAAATTTATTTATTAAAGGGACTGTGAATTAGAGTTTTTATTAGATTTAATTATCAAAGGGACTGTGAGCTAGAGCTTTTATTAAATTTAATTATTAAAGGGACTGTGAACTAGAGTTTTTAATAAATTTAATTATTAAAGGAACTGTGGACTAGAGTTATTAATAAAATTAATTATGAAAGGGACTGTGAGCTAGAGCTTTATTAAATTAATTATTAAAGGGACTGTGAACTAGAGTTTTTATAAAATTTATTTATCAATGGGACTGAACTAGACTATTTATTAAATTTAATTATTAAAGGGACTGTGGACTAGAGTTTTTATTAAATTTAATTATTAAAGGGATTGTGAACTAGAGTTTTTATTAAATTCAATTATTAAAGGGACTGTGACTAGAGTTTTTGATAAAATTAATTATTAAAGGGACTGTGGACTAGAGTTTTTATAAATATAGTTATTAAAGGGACTTTCTAAATTAACTATGTTCTAGAATTTTCTATGATTACTAAATGGAATTCGATCTAGAATTTTAGCCACTAAAAGGAATATTACTTGCTAATAAATAAAAGTCGTCTTCATTTTATTGATGTAATCGCCAACCATGCTGTAGTTTTAAATTGTACAAAACTAGAAATAATAAAGTATAAGTCGCCGCAACACTTTAAAGTTGACCCAGTTTTTGAAATTGATTCAATTTTTCAAAGCTATTCAGGAATCAGGATCTCTATGATGCATGAAGGGCCGGTCATAAGTAGGGTTTCCAGCGAAAAAGGAAAATCGTTTTGCATTTTTCCCTTCATTCATTTTCGCGAAAAAGGTAGCGAAATACGAAGGAAAATTTTCGCATTTTTTTGCGAAACGTTTCGTTTGCTGGAAGTCATGAGAAGACAATTGTTTATGTAGATGATACTGTCCCTAGCCGGAACGGATACTGTCCCTAGCCGGACCGGATACTGTCCCTAGCCGGACCGGATGAAAGTATTATCATTTCTAAAAAGAATGAACATGTTTTCATCTTTTCTGATAACCTATCCAACTATATAGCACTAAATTCTTCTAAGAAACCTTTTCTAGAATTTGTTGTTTTCTGGAACAATTTATTTCAAATCTGTCTACACAAAACATGACAATTTCACTGTAAACTCTGGGTCAATTCAAGTACTAGACCGACTTTTAAGCAGTACAGTAGAGATGCTGACTATGCAAGGCAAAACGGGATAGTACACCAAATGAATCAGCCTCTTCAAGGGAGTTTCTCAAAACAGTGGAAAATGAAGACGATATTAAAGCCAACTTTTGTGTATTGATGTTGTTAAAAAGTAAATAATTTTGCTAGTATAGCATGAGCAATAACTTATTAAGTTAAATAGGTCTGTGTATACACTGTACACTGCACACTGTGTTTCATTTTCTTTGGACT